TGAGCAAGGTAATCCAGACCGTAAACCCCAATATCTCTTCTATGTAGATATTCGCTTCTGAGCCTTTGTTATGCATGCTGTAATCAGAATAGTCACTGAGGTTAGGTACCCAGTAAGGGCCTGGATAAGGAGAGGCTCGAACAAGAAAAGACAAATAGAATACAGTGTTATGGAGAAACAAAGGAGAAACTGGAATAGGAGGATTTCTAAATAGTGAAGGGTAGGAGAGAAAAGTAAAGGAAGGAATGTTTGGAGGGATGACTAACAGTAGAAACCTTTTGACAAACTAGTGCCACCAAGAAGTGTACTAGCATTCATGGTTCTGGGAAGTACTGGGTACACGATAGGGGGAGAAAAATAATAATTAGTATTACCTAGCTACAAACCCTGTGACCTCTAACAGCAACCTGCCCGTCAGACAGACTGGCACCATAATGGCATAATATTACAAGAGAATCAACCAATTTTTGATTGAACTTAAGGCTCACTCCATGATATGGAACCCATATCTGACACTGCTAAAGTTTCCAAAAACCTAAGAATATATAGATCACAACGCTAGGGGGAAACCTGTTATTCTGCTAAAGGAACAACATATCAATAAAAGGACTGACTCCCAATGACGTACAACTCTCCTCATAGATCAGTGCCTCACTCAACCCACATCAGAGAAGCGTCTTCTTGTGGTACATTAGAATTAACACAGAAGCCCAAAGCTGTATAGCTAGCGAAGAGCAAGAAATTTGGAGCACTAACTTATAAGTGGATTTTTGTAATTGAATCCTTCTCTTCCTGGCTCGGGAAGTTGTGTAGAAGAGGAGGCAGAAAGGCTGCAGGAGCCAGAAGTGATGGATGACTCCAAGGAAGCAGTGTCTTCCAGATATAATAGGACTGGTGCACATATTAACTCCCAGAGACTGGTAACACAAACAAGCCCTATAAAGATGCAAGCCAGACACAGTCTCTACAGATTTAAACCAGCACTGAGAGGGGGGAAATGGACATGGGCTACCACCCTAACCAGGAAGGTGTTTGTAATTGATACCTGTTGGCAAAGGGAAAATCAGTTTCCTTCAATGGATTCTCTCTAGATAAATCAACCACACTTCAGGGTAGGCACCATGCCTAGGATTAATTGGCCAATATAAAACAAACTCAGTGGTATGTTTGTGGACTTTAGTTTCATTCTGCCTTTGTTTTGGCACTATTTGTCTTGCTTATATGTTGTGGTGGTTTGAATGAGAATAGCTCCTATCATTGGATCATACGTTTGAATGCTTGGTACCCAGCTAATGGAACTGTTTGTGAGGGATTAGAAGGTGTGGCCTTGTTGGAGGAAGTGTGTCATGGAGTGGACTTTGGGGTTTCAAAAGCCCATGCCATGCTCAGCCCCCTCCCCTCTCTGTCTTTGCCTGCTGGCTACAACTCAGAATGGAAAGCTCTCAGCTACTGCTCTAGTGCCATGCATGTCTTCTTCCTGCCATGGTGATCCTTTCATTTGTAAGTGTTGCCTTGATCGTGGTGACTTCACAGTAATAGAACAGTAACTAAGGCAGAAGTTGGTATAAGGGACTGGGGTATTGCTGTGACAGGCCCGACCAGGCTATTGTGTGGGAGAGTATGGAAGACTTTGGGATTTCGTACTGGAAAAACAATTGAAAGCATTAAGCGTGGTTTTAATGAGCCACTCTAGTAGGAGCCTGGAAGACAGCAATGCTAAGGGCAACAAGAGGTTTCAGAGGGAAAGAATATTACCAAGTAGCCTTTAGCCCTTCTTGTGATGTTTTGGTGAAGAATGTGGCTCCTTTTTGTCCTTGTCTGAAAAAAATCTGCCTGAGGCTAAATCGAAGAGTTTTGAATTAATGCCGTTGGCAGAGGGGATTTCAGGACAGCCTACTATTAACTGTGTCACATGGTTATTAGTGATCACTCTTCAATAATGAAAAGGAGCAAGCAGGACAAGGAGAAATACAAAATATACAGTGTGAGGAGAAAAAGAACATGAGAAAATACCGTGGTGGAGTCAAGAAGCTTTAAGAAAAGCCTAAGGCTAAATCGAATGAAGGAAGGTGGTACAGGACAAGATCCCAGGAGCTAATCCCGTGAAAGGGAAGGCCTGAGGGATTTCCTAGGCCTGAACAACAACAGAAAGCTTACAGAAATATAATTCTAGGAGGCAGCCAGTTTCCAGCCCCAGCAAGTGGCAGAATGTGGCAGCTCTGGCCATATGTTCTGGACTCAGAGACAAGAATGATACAACGAACGGATTGTGAATATCTTCCTTCTGGTTTTGGAAAGCCTCTGAGGCCAGCCACAAGGCAGGGGATATCCCAGCATGTAGGCCAGGAGAGGCCATGATGTGAAGCTGTGAAAGTAAAGGCTGGATTGTGTTAGAAGCTACAAGACATTGTAGATGTCAGAGCCTTGGGTTACCTGCCAGACAGGGTGTGGAACCAGCCCAAGAGAGAGAAAGGTCTGTTACAGTCAGGAAAGCTGGAGACTGAGGAGTTTGCCCTTTGGATATTTCCTCACTACACCGCCTTCCTACCCCTTGGGATTGTGGTTTATATTCTGTGACATTGTACATTGAAAGCATATGATCTAATTTTTTATTTTGATTTTATAGAGGGTTACAGTTAGGAGATTACAAGTCTCAGAAGAGGATTTGGACTTTTAAACAGTGTTAAAACTAAAAGATTCAAGTGCAAAAAAAAACTAAAAGATTATGGAGGGTTTTTTGAACATTGGATTGAACGCAGTGTTTGCATTGTGATATAGCTACAAGCCTATGGGATCCAGGGAGTGCTTGAAGGTCTGGGTCCCAATTAATATAACTGTTGCTAAGAATTAGGAGTTGTACCTCTTTGGACTTGGAAGAAGTGTGCCGCTGGGAGTAGGCTCTAAGATTTCAAAAGCCCATGACAGGCCCAGTCTCTGTCTCTGTCTCTGTCTCTGTCTCTGTCTCTCTCTCTCTCTCTCTCTCTCTCTCTCTCGTGCACAAACAGGCAGAAAAGTGATAATGAAATACACATAGTAAGTATACACAGGCACAAAACAAAACCCATACAAACACAAAATCAGAAACTATAATATACAAGAAAAAGACCAAGAAGACAAAAAATGTGAAAACAAAGCAATATGAGACAAAAGGTTTACAGAAATACCATTGAGTTCATTTTGTGCTGGCCATCCACTGCTGGGCATGGGAACTACCATTAAGTGTGGTCTGTACACCCAGTGAAACTCCATTGGAAAGAACTATTTTTTCCTTTATAAGTGGGTGCTCATTGGAGGTCACTTATTGATTAGGGATAGGATTCCATAGTGTGCAAATGTTAGTTTGTTGAGAGAGAGAGAACATGAAATTTGTGGCTAAGAGAAATGATACCACAGACCACTGTAGATTTAGGAGATAAGAAGCTTTAGGAAGAAAAGAGACTACATAACCACCTGGAATCTGAGCGGAGACTACACCAGAGCCTAAGCAGCCCTGATTCTGGAGTCTGGCAGAACTAACATGAGAGGGTGTGGCCATTTGGGTGGCAAAGGTCTTATGAGTGAAAGTCAGCAAGGAAGGCTCCAGTAGGAAGAAGCTAAAGATGGCAGGAAGAGAATACACTCCCAAGGAGGCATTTGGAGCATGGGGGAGCACAGAACCCCTGAAATTCCTAGGAAGTGTGAGAGGTTCCCCATGTGACCACAAGAGCTTACCACTAACTGTAAAGAACTTTCATGGGAAGTAAAAAAAACATGTCTGGGGAACTTCTGGGACTAGAGGAGAGTAGGAAATGTTAGTTGAGGCTTCAGGTGACAAAAACTGAACACTTCTGAAATATGTAGATAATGCAGCAGAGAAGAAAATAGAGTATACAGCGAGCATCTTAGGGGGTAGCAGGAATTCCTAGCGGCTCAGCAGCATGGTCTCACAGCTATGCCAGCTCCCAAGTGGTGAGATCCAGATGTTTTTCAGGTTGGTTGTATCTATAGGGATAATTGAGCTCAGTTTGACAACACTTTTTGTTGTTGTTGAACACGGAAGGAAACACGCTCAGCACTAGATGATGAGAAGCAAAGACAGGGCAGGAGGCTATTTACAATCAGTAACGATCATCCTTCATCTAGACAAGCCTGAAAATCCTCTCTATGATTTCACCCCCGTGTTACAGATGGAACTCTGCTTCTAAAAGCAGGGTCTTGAGCTGACTGTGTAGGCAAACATAATGGGTTGACATCTTGGTGAGGGCAAGTCAAAATAAGCTGAGTCTAGACATGAGACCATAGAGGAAGATTATCGCCCATGGATACAGGAGCAGGGAAACTATTTCCAAAGCCAAAGTGATGCTCTCCTTAAACTTAGGAAGCACAGTAGGGAGCCTATGCACAGTCAGCCTCAGTTAAGTAGTACGGAGCATGCTAGTTTAAGGGCAGAATTTCAATGAAAATATATTAGACACACTTTGGGAGCCACTTAGCTCAAAGTCACGGGGTGAGTATGTGAAAGATTACACTGATGGACAGAAATGCCTCTGGGCATGCTCAGCTTGCACCATTGAGTTTTAGCTGAAAAAATAAGAGGCTTTGAAGGTGAGTGAACACAGGAGCCTGTTCCTAAGGTGCCTGCCCTCTTAGTTGCACATAGCTGCATAGATAGCTACCCTTTCCATCACAGGTACCGATGCAGGACATTCTGGGTTGCTCTGTCTAATGCGGCTCCAAGTTAGAAATCGGGTCTCGTTGATGACATCTGGGTGAAAAAGAAATTGCTCAGCCGCTCTGAAATTGTGTCAGGCTCTAACTGTGTGCTTTTACATCTACATATACATCTCGTTCTCAGTTTAACGTGTTTGCAATATGTTCATGACATGAGATCTCAAATTTCTAAGAAAAATATGTTTACCTTTCTTTCCCAACCCTTAGAAGATTGAGGAATTCCCAAACACATCCAACACGATCACATTAATTTCTACAGCTACATCCTAAAGCACATATTTGTCTTTCAGGTGTGAAAATGAAACCACGTTCAAAACAGAAGATATCCACTGGGCTTACAGCTTCTGCCCCACCCCGTACTCCTGGATGGCACTCCTGGGCCTGGTTTTATATCTCATTTTCTTTGCACCTGGTGAGTGGACACTTATCACGTTTGCACTGCATTGTCCCCTCTTAGAAGAGGCAGTCTACTATACTTCATTCCACAGAGGATTTTTACTATAGTTTTAACTATCTACTTCTCAGGAATGGGACCAATGCCCTGGACGGTGAACTCTGAAATTTATCCTCTCTGGGCAAGAAGTACAGGAAATGCATGCTCAGCAGGAATCAACTGGATTTTCAACGTCCTCATTTCACTGACCTTCTTACACACAGCAGAGTATCTCACATACTGTGGTAAGAGCATGTGTCCTTTCGTTGTTTCTTGTGACACTCTGCCCGTAGGTACCCTGTAATTTGTCAGGGAGGCTGTGCCCTTCTATGTTGGCTCAACCCGAGTATCTCTGTAGCTTTCACCATCTCCAGGGGTTCTGGGAAATGTGTCTGAGAGAAGAGTTCTCTTTTCCTAAGTGTATTGTCTGCAAGTTCTTATGGGTACCGCCCACAATTCAAACCCCAAAGACTACCCCCACACACACCAGCCAGGATGGAAATCCTTACAGCGTAGCTCTCAGTTTAACAAGGAAGCAGAAAGAAAATGCCGAGACCATGAAGACAAGATTGATGAGATGTCCTGGGGGAGAGATGGAACCCCTCACCTAAGCAGCATTGGGGTGGGCCTGAAAATAGCTCCACCCTTTTGGGACACTGTGCCACTTGACTGTTCCAGCCAAGACAGCTTGGATCCCAGCACTTACCACTTCCAGAAATATGGATATGACAAAAACCTCCAAGACGAAAACTTGGAACGTCTAGAACAGCAGTTCTCAGCCTGTGGGTCATGACCATCAGAAAGCACATATTTCAGATGGTCTCAGGAAACCCCAACAATAAATTTATTTTCACTGCCCCTTCATAACTATAATTTTACCATTGAGCCGTGTCACAGTTCCCAAGACCATTGAACTATGTGTTTTGCAATGGTGATGACCAACAGGTTAAGAAACACTGATCTAGAAACATTTGTTTCCCTGGGAAGGAAATTCATGAGACATGATAAGCTGGTGGTGTGTTTAGAACATTCAGCTTTTTCTCTTTTAACAACTAAAAATGGTTCCAAAAACTCATGAGCTTGTTTGCATGACATGATGATGGATATTACTTGGCATTGCTGACTCTTGAGAATGCTTCAATACTCAAAGGTCTGTAATAGCCCAAGAAGCATTGTTTTGTTTTGCTTTGTTTTTTTAATAGAAACTTACATAATAAAAATCCATTCAGTAAAACTCTGACTAGCAAAGTTCTCTTTTGGGATGAAGTGAGATAGGAGGCGTCAGTGGGTACCAGGCTATTCTTGTCTGTGCTTTTACATAGTATGCATTTACATATGCCACATGGGCTTACGGAGATATAAGAACAAATGTGTACTGTAAGGAAAGGCGTGGACAGCATAGTATGGTTTAGTTACAGCCTGTGTCAGCTTTGTTGGGAGTATGCAGGCAGAAGCCAGCCTTCTTTCCTGTCAGTACACTGTCCCCCTTCATCCTACTAACAGTGGAGACATGTATCCAGTCTAGTTAGACTTTTGGTCTCATGTTTTAATCTATATGATAATGATTTATGAGCATATGTTTTTATATTCCTGATGAACAAGTTTATGTCCTGGTGGTATATTTCCTAGGGAATATCCATATTCTCTTTGATGTCAAGCCTTTTTTTTAAATTTTATTTATTTGTTGTTTTTGTTTTTTGTTTGAGACTGGGTTTCTCAGTGTAACAGCCCTGACAGTCCCAGAACTCGTTTTGTAGACCACGTTGGCCTCGAACACACAGAGATCTGCCTCCCTTGTGCTGGGATTAAAGGTGTGCACCAACACCCACCCAGCCTTTCTTCCCTTTTAAAAATTGTTTCATAGTATCTCAAGCTTTGCTTCCTTCCTAAGCGTCCCTACTTAGGGAGACTTCCATTGCTGGTTGTTCAGTGAAATCCTGTTACTGAAAACAGGATCGCAAGCCCAGAGCTTGTTCACATGTGCGGCCAACAGATCCTGGAGTGAGCAGTACATTAAAGTTATGCGGTATGGAAGTATTGAAGTGTAGTCATTGGTTGTTATTGTGTGTTTACTAAATATCTGTTGTAATCTGGAATTTAAGAGAGGGTTCCAATAATACTTCTCTCAGAAAGATGCGGAGGAATCCCTCTGAATTAACCATCTCATGGAAAGCAGTGGTTTGTTTCATTGTCATCCCAAGGAGAAATAATGAAGCAAATGAGTTACTTTGCTGGCAGTCTGCCACCCTCCCCGACAGCTTAACCATGGGCCTCACCAGGAGCACCCAAGTCAACAGCCAGTCTTCCTGCTTTGGTATCCTCAATTTGCTAGGGTTTTCTGTTCAGTGGAATTTTCTGGGTGTTGTTTGCCATTGAGAATTTGCATTTCATGGGGAAACTGGTTTTGGTGGCATTTGTTTCTTGGCATGTTTTGTTTTTTAGCGACATGGCTTCCTTTCCCCCAGGTTGGCCTTGAAGTTTGTGTAGTGAGGATGACTTTGAACTTCTGATCTTCATACTTCTACTTCCAGAGTCGGTGCCACCATGCCTGGTTCATACGGTGCTGGGGTTGAACCTAGGGCTTGAAGTACCCTAGGCTAGCACCCCACCAAGTGAGTTACATCTGAGCCCAAGAACCCATTGTCCGTGTAGGTCTTCCTCATCTGCCCGAGTGGCTGCAGCCCTTGGTACAGACAGGTTTTGTTACTTCTTGTTAGGCTGCTGTTGCACTTAGTAGAGACAGTGAGACAGGAAAGGATTCCATTTCTGTTGCTACTGCAGAATACAGGCCTTCCTTCCTCCCTCCCTCCCTTCCTGCTTTCCTTTCTTTCTTTCTTTTTCTCCATTTTACCCTTTTGTTCTCTTTTTATAGCCAAAATGTTTGCACTTTTCAAGGGTCAGCCTGTCAGTAACAGCCTTGTCATGAAAGCACCCCAGTTCATCAGTTGTGCTAATTTTACTTGATCTTTACGAGCAGCCTGTCCCTGGTCAGTTGCCAGAATTGGAGGATATTATCATATTTTACTATTTATTCAATGTATCAAGTGTATATGGGTATACATTTCATGTGGGGTCAGAGGACTTTGTGGAGTTGGTTCTCCCCTCCTGTGCCCGTGTTCCAAAGATCCAACTGAGAGCCCAGGCTTTCCCACCAAGCGTCTGCCCTGATGACCTTCCGTACCTCTGAGGATACAAGACAGACATGCATGTGTGTGTATAATAGGACCCCTTGGTTATTATAATACTAAAGAGAGTGTGGAGAAAACAGTTGGGAGACAGCAAGTCCCCTCAGCCTGGGATCTGAGGGAGACTTCCGAGAAGAATTTGCCTGTGAGCCATTTTGCTGACATGGTTTGAGTTTTGAAAGATTAGTTGCATCATGGTCACAGGACTGGAACAACCAGGTAAGGCAGGCTAGCAGACGCTGTTTGGTTGCATTTCATGCTGTAGTTATGTTCCAGTCAGAATCGAGACTCTCAACACGGGGCTCTTCACTGTATCCTTTCTCCCTGCAGGAGCATTCTTCCTCTATGCCGGCTTTGCGGCCCTGGGACTGCTTTTCGTCTATGGCTGTCTTCCTGAAACGAAAGGGAAGAAGCTGGAGGAAATTGAATCGCTCTTTGACACCAGGCTATGTACATGTGGCGCTTCTGACTCCGATGAAGGGAGATACATTGAATACATTCGGGTGAAGGGAAGTAACTACCACCTCTCTGACAACGATGCTTCTGATGTGGAGTAACTTTCAGCTGGTGACATTTTCGTTACTGAATTGAATGTGGGAAAAGGCCAGCACTTGGTCACTGCCCTGCTCGCAAGCCGAGTCTCCCCACAGTCCTTCCGAATGACTCCATATTCTCGAAGACTTGGCAAGGAGAAAAATACAACCATGGTGATGTTTATTTTCATAAACAGAAATGATATAAAAAAAACCAAGAGTTTTCTTAAGCAAATGTGTATAATCCCTTCTTGAGACGGTCTAAACATTACTGTTGTACCCAGTGACTTCAGTAGGACCCCTTTCTCCTAACACCATATACAATTATTAGTAGTGATACAGTCAGTGATTATCTAGGCAGATCATATATATATATGCATATATATATTTACAAAGTATTATTTAAGATGACCTAAAAGTATTTAATGCCAAAACATGGTCTATTGACCCTAAATTTTCATACCAAGTAGTGGCTTTTCTATGATCAGTTGGTACAAAGTGAATTCCATCTAAACTTCCATCTACAAATTCAGAAGTCCTATCAGGACACAGTTGTCCCTCTCTCCTTTGGATTCCAGATGTTGGCTTCTGTCTCCAACACAGATATAATCATTTCTTCAGAGACTGAATACACAGGATCTTTTGAACACTATCCAAAGTAGGCCCTTTGAGGGTTATTTTCATACTTTTTTGCATTGGTGATGAGTATATTTGCACAGATAAGCTAGCATGTTTTGATAAGTATATTTTATTGTCAAAGTGAGAAAGAGCAGATTTTTATATATCCTGGTCTGTTTGTCACAATTGTATGCACAATTGGAATGCAATGGTCGATGTAAAGTCATGTCAGGTTGTCCACTGTATTCCAGGGTCAGTTTAATGCACACCAGACCCTCCACATGGTCACTCCCAGGCTGCTGCTGCTCCGTGCCTTCCTTGGTGTTCACTGACAGCTGCTGGCAGACTGCTTTTCTCTTTCCGATACACTAGAGGAAGGAAGTCAGTGGCAGAAACAGTTATTGACATTTAATTAAACCCTAGGATGCTTTTCCCACATGCTATTGGCTCTTCCTAAGGACAGAAGCTCATCTCACTACTAATTACTGTGTTTTCCCCTGAGAAAATGCGAGCTACTTTTCATTCTGTCTTTTCTCATTCCTAATAACTTGCTACATAACCACAACTCAGAGCTGTGTCTGTTTCTTTATCTCATCCTTGGTTTGGTTTTCTGTCTGCTCTAAAAAAACCGAGATTTCTTCTTTGGAAAAGACATAGATAGGCTATAATCCACAGTCAGTAAAACAGGCTGACTTACCTTTAGACACGATCTCTCAAAGTATTTCCTGGTCTCTATGTTCACCCAATACTGAATTCCTAGTTTTCACCACCCTACTAAGAGTTATGTGTGGTACAAATAAAATTCCTTGCTTACAAAACTCATTTGCTAGTTCTAAAGCTATGGATGAATCTAATGACCAGTTAGGAACACATCAGTTTAATGTTTTACACAATGATCTAAACACCTAATTAAGTTCTGTATCCAAGTGAATGGAGGTTAGTGATAAAATTGAGTATTTTAGCAAGTCGCCAAATGTTTATTCTTCTTTTAATGCCTGGCTTATTCTTTCCATAATTACCAAGCTGAGATGCTAGCAAAGGAAGTTTTTCCTCCAGTCACCACCAGAGGTACTAACACAGTCACTTACGTGACCTACAAATTCTTCAGCCAAGCGAGGGAGTTCTCTCTCTTTGGTTGTTTAATGTTATTTTAAAAAAATAATATAGCATTTTAAAATTTTTTTCTCAAATTAGGTGCTTTGAGATTTATTTATAGAGAATATTAGTACTGATTTTTCTCTAAAACAGAAGATATTATTTAATAGGAAGAATTATTTGATATTTATCTCTTAAGAAGTTTCTTAACTCAATAGCATTTTACAAGATCAAATGAGCTATTATGTGGAATAGTTGGCATATTATTGGAAGAAAACTGAGTAGAGTAATCCTTTTTAAAGTATATTTTTCTGATTTTTTTTCAACTTGTTGCCTCAATTCTTCCTTTCACAGTCCATGTAGCCTTAGGCACACATGTGTCTGCAGCTGGCTGACACATGGGACACATGGGCTAACACATGGGACTACACATGACACAAAGGGACAGCTGGGTTGCTAGTCCTGAAAGCTGAGTGTGATCTGTTCTTGCTGACATAAGAACAAGTATGTTTTCAGCTTTTTGTGCATAAGTTAATATAATAATGGGAAATTGTCCACATTTCTCTTGACCTGTACCTTTCTTCATTTCTAAAAATTATTTCTATATTAATATTCCATACCTTTAACATACAAGACAGAGCAGCACATATGACTTATTTATAACTTTTAAAAAAATCAACTCAGTACTTGAAAAGGAGCCTTCTATAATCCAGGTATGCTTTTTAGATTTGGTGAATATTTATATCAAATTAAAAGTTAATTGTTGGAATTTTCAGATTTTTATTCTATTAAACACCTTTTATGTTTCTAGTGTCAACTGCCAACTTGAAAACCACCCATGTGAAATCATCAAACATATATTTTATAGGACAATTTCTATATGATATGATTTGATCTACCATGTTAAAATAGATTAAGCAGTGCTTGCCACTGCAATAATAGCTTTCTTTCCAAACATGCTGCAATTTCAATACTGGTGTGTTTGATTCAGGGAACGCTATGTGAAGAAGGTTAAGACCATGCCTGCAACCTAGCTGGATGGCTAATATGTAGGACAATTAAGAATGCATCATTTGTCTACGTATAAGTACACACTGTTGAACATGATTCTCAAAAAGGTTTGGGGTTATGGGCTGTGGTAGGGTGCTGGCCTCAAAAGATGGGTGTTAATATTTTCCTTCCAAGCAAACATCTCTTATAACTTTGATTGTGACACCTACCTTAGTCATTATCTAAAACATTGCTTTGAATGTGTGTGTGTGTGTATGTGCGTGTGTGTGTGTGATCTAAATAAAAGATGTTTCCAGGAGAATAATAGCAGAATCATCAGTTTATCAGTGAAACACACTTTGGGATACATTCTTAATATTTGTTATTCACTCTAAAGTGAGAGATCAGTAGAAGCACCAAATTTATGAATTTCTGCTGTGATTTTAGTTTCTATTAAACAGGGGGAAAGTCCGGGGAAAACAAATTGATAACTTGCCCATTTACTTTATAAAAGCAAAGTAAAAGTCAAAATGTATTGTTAATAATTGTAAATCTTGGGGCAGGGTGAAGTGATGTTTTAGATGGTGTCACCCACGGGTTTTCCTTAATAGCTGAGTGTAATAACTTTTCAGTTGTCAACCTCAGACCATTTTTAACTAGGAAAAAGAATTAGATGGTACAACCAGGTCAGGAGTAAAGTGTTTTTGGTATACTCTCTCTAGAAAACTAGACTACATTCTACCCTTAAGCTCCAAAATTATAGGTGAAATTCATAGTTCAAGAGTAGCCACTGCCTATACGAGACTCAGAACTGTTCTCTGGGAAGTTCTTCATGTCCCTCAGTGTGTCCATTTCTACCAGTCCTACTCATGCACAGGTTGGATAGTGTAGGTTCATTCAGTTCTCCTAGGCCAGTACCAGTGCTGCCACCTTCTGGGAACTGCAAGAAGTTGCAAATGCCAAACAGCTACCTGTCTAGTTCTTCCTTGTGTGCTTGTTTGGGGAAGGAAATGCTCACGTGCCAATCATCACCAGAGAGTCGCTTTACAAGTATTCACGTTCGGAAACACCCAGAAGTATACTGTGCTTATGAGTACAGAGCAGGATAATTCTCCAAATCTTCACAATTCAGTCTATAGCACTTGAGTAATTTGGTCAACAGGATTTTCACTGCCATCGTTTATAGATAATATTCACATTTTAGACAATTAGGTTCATGGGATTGATTTTGTCATATCCAAATAAATAGAATAAGAAATGAACTGTGCAGATAATCAGTATCCAAACATGGATCTATACTTTACAAAGTTTTAAGATTTTGCTAAATTCAACATTATCCCATTTCACTGAGATTTAGACAATATAATGTTAACTGTAGCCAAAGTAGAAATTTATGTCCTATATACATGTCCAGTATTGTACCGTGTCTCTCTTGATGTTACAGTACCGTTTGTAATAAATGTTCTAATTTCTATTTAGGAGCTCTAAATATACATCTCTATTAAATCAGGAGTTTCATGCTTTTAGAGGCATACATATTTTGAACTGTACATTTTAATTTTCTGAATGCATGTTATATACTGTTTAATACTTGACATATCTTGGAAAATCTAGTCTTTTCATTCCCACCTGTGACATACAGAATATCTCTTGAAAACTGCCACTGTTCCATTTACCAAATCATGCTAGCCTATAATATATCAAAAGTATGGTATATTTTATGGAGATCTAGTGATATACATGTAAATGTTTTTTAAGTTATTTTATTGAACTTCAATATTTACATAAAGTTATAATCTTTTTTTAAAGAAAGTGTCAGTGCCAGAGCTGTATAAGAAAATAATCAAATAAAGGTAAAGACAATTCATTCTCTTGGACTCTTCCTCACTTCTCATCTTGGATTTTAGTGTCTGGGTTACATAGTGAACACACTGTGGGAACTGTAAACAAAGTGTTTTATAATAATTTTAATTTTATGTTTGCTTGCATGTAGATCCGGAAGAGGGCATCAGCTCCCCTGGAACTGAAGTTCTCAGTGAGTGCTGGGAATTGCTTGGAAGGGCAACCATTGTTCTTAACCACTGAGCCATCTCCTCAACCCCCATTCTGTTCTTTCTATCAGAGGGTTGAAAAGGGCAACATCCATTAATGACAACAACAGCAATTGTAAAGAAGCCATTTGACAGATCTGCAAGTTCCTGCAGGGTCAGATCTTGCTGAACTCAAGATCTGTGCTCAAGTTTCATTCTCCCAGAAACTGCTTCTCTGTATTAGTTAATCCCATAAAACCACTCAGAGGGCAACACAGAGCGTTAGGAATAAAAACTCAGAGTGATTCCTTCTGGGTGGACTTGCCTGCTTATATATCAAGTGTGACTAAACACCTTTCTGTAGAAGTACAACCCACACCTGAGATTGTGTGGTCATCTTCTTGAGACACCGCAGACCCATTTATTATAGCTTAGCACCTAACCTGGGGTTTTCTGTCTCCTATCCCTGGAAGTGTAGGATGCTGCTTTGTTTTGGCCACGCTAGTAATGGAGATAAGCCTGGTTCTAAGCTCAGGGAAACAGAAAAAGTACACCAGCAATGCAGAGACATGGGTCCAGTACAAACACTGGGCAGTAAGGTAACCTGGTACACAAGCCAAGGTTTTAAAATAATGAACAGAAGAAAGCTGTCCCTCCCTGTCCAGGAGCTCCTCAGCCAGAGGCGGTATTTTGCACTCACCTTCTCCACCCTTCCATGATGAGGTTTTGTCTGGCTTGAGCTTGCCCCTGTCTTGTGCATGCTGTCACAATTTCTGTACCCTGTTGTATCTAGGAAACATTTTCTTTTTGTTGTTAGTTTTTTGGTTTGTTTTTTGTTGTTGTTGTTTGTTATTTTGTTTTTTTTTTCCGAGATGGGTTTTCTCTGTGTTGTCTTGGCTGTCCAGGAACTCACTCTGTACACACAACTGGCCTCAAACTCACAGAGATTCACCTGCCTGTGCCTCCTGAGTGCTGGGATTCAAGGAAGAAAACACTGTTGAAGTCATTGTCTCCCTCTAGCTCTTACAATCTCTCTGTCTTCATTTCTGAGAAGTTCCCCGGGTCTTGGTGGAGGGATGTGATATTTAAGCCCCACTTAGAATGGACGTCTGGTAGGCTTGCCACTCTGCAGGGCAGGCCCTGTTCCCACAACACACTCTGGACTGGATAGAAGAACGTGGAGGATGGGAAGACTCAAAACTCAAAATTGGGTGAGGAGGGAGGGAAGGGGAGACGTGAGAGGATTTGGGGGTGAATTTGATCAAAACATATTTTAAGAAGTCCTCAATTAATTGAAGAATATTTTAAATACTACTAAGCACTACTAAGTGTTACTAAGTAGGAACTAAGTCTGAGATAGATTATTACTATACATGAAATAGTGTGTTTTAATTGGATGGGGGTAGGGGAAATGTCCAGACAGTTGATTCTTATTCTTTTCCTATTAACTTAACTATTAGACATGTACACTAGCAGAATAATATAAGATTCAGATAGAAGCTATATAGGTATGGACATCTAATTGTTGCAAATTTGTCAAAAACAAATGTTGGGGGGAAAAGATACTCTATTCAACCAATGGTGCTAGCAAAACTGGATAGCAATCTATAGAAGAATGAAAACAAATCTGTATTTCTCACTCTGCACAATTCAAAATCGATTCAAAGAAAAGCAAAGACCCTAATTTAAAACCTGAAACCCTGACACTGTTAAGGGAAAGCACAGGAAAATTACTGCAGGACAGAGGTATAAGCAAGAACCTTCTAAATAGGATCCCAACAGCACCAGAAATAACACCAACAACTGGCAAATGAAATGGATTATATGAAATTCAAAACGTTCCACACAGAGAAAGAAACTATCAACAGAGTGAATGGCAGAAAACCGTCATCAGCTATACTTCATAAAAGGAATTAATATCTAGAAAATATGAAATACTGTGAAAAACAAATTCAAATGCCAGCCAATAAATGGGTCAGCACTGAACAGCCAGTTTTCCAAAGAAGACAAATGGCCAGTAAACATTCATTAAAAACATTTCAGTGTCCTTAGTCATCAAGGAAATGCTGATTAAAAGTACTTCCAGATTCCATCTCACCCCAGTTAGATTGGCTGTCATCAAGAAAACAGTGACAACAAATGCTGGAGAGGATATAGAGAAACTGGAAAAACTTATTCGTTGTTGGTGGAAGTGCAAGCTGGTGTAACACTATGGAAATCAGGGTCAAGGTCTCTCAAAGTGCTAAAACGAGAACCTCCATATGGTGCTGTCACATTGCTCTTGGGAATATAGCTAAAAGCCAAATCTAACCACAGAAACATTTGCACATTCTTGAGTGGTTATTGTTGCTTTTTCATCATACTTAGGACATGGCATCACCTAGATGTCTACAAATAGATGAATGGACAAAGAAAGTGTGGACCATATACACAATGGACTTTATTCAACCACAAAGAAGAATGAAGTTATGAAATTTGCTAAGTAATGAATAGAACTGAAAAATATTATATGCTGTCAGATAACCAGATCATATGCAGATCTTAAATGGTTAGATATGTATATTTATGCCAAAGTAATGTACTTATGAAGCAAAAAGATGGGAAAATTAAAAGGAGCTCATGACCTAGGGAAAATAGGCTTTAAAGGAGCATGGTGGGAAACAGAGAGTGTGGCATGAGTGTGCCCAGTGCTGGACATAGAAGAGCACAAGGAGAATGGAATGAGCAGGGTTGGGAAGGAGCAAAGGTGGGGGAATCCACATACAATATTCCATTATAAAAAGACAACACACACACTGCATCAAAGTTAAAATACGAAAACTTGCTTGTGAGTGAACCTCAGCATAGTTATTCTCCATTTCCATTCTAGAACATCGTACTTATGCACCAGATAGATTCTCCATCTCCACAGTGTCTATACTCACAAAGTCCTGCATCACACACACTGTTTTCTGACTGAGGAGATTGCTCAGCCACAGCTCGTAACATTAGTGAGAACCACAAGTTGCAGAGCAGAATATGGGCCCAAGTCAGATTATAGTGGTGTCATTTCTGCCACCTAACTTTGTCACTTCGTTTTTGTTTCGTTTTGTTTAACAAGATTTACAGTAAATAAATGAAACCTGCTGGCTGCTTCTACTTGAAAAATGTTGCAGCTATGTCCTTCTGTACGACCACTGGTTTAGACTTAGGAACTAACCATGAATACTAGACAGAATTTACAGTGTAGTGGAAAATGTAAAAGAATGAAGATTTTGGTTAGGGTCTAAAATGACCAATAATTGCACCCCACAGAAGGATCTAGACTTACTGTCATAATGGGCGTCATTTCTTTGAAATTCACCATCTGTGGAATGAGCACAGCCAGTCTGTAGTGATTACTGTTTATATGGTCTTTCTCTCCCTTCCTTTTTTTCCTTCCTTCCTTCCCTCCTTCCTCCCTTCCCTTCTTTTTTTCTGGTTTTTCAAGACAGGGTTTCTCTGTGGAGTCCTGGATGTCCTGGAACTCTCTTTGGTTGGCTGGTTGGTTGGTTGGTTGGTTGATTGTCTGGTATGTTTTGAGACAGGGTTTCTCTGTGTAAGATCCCTAGCTGTCCTGGAACTCTATCTGTAGACCAGATCACAGAGATCTACCTGCCTCTGCCTCCCAAGTACTGGGATTAAAGGCATGCACCACCACCACCCAGCTTTGTAAGCCAGGTTGTCCTTGAACTCATAGAGATCCACCTGACTCTGCCTCCTGAGCACTGGAATTGAAGGCTTACACCAACACACCTGGCACCTTTCTCTTTTTAAATTTTAACTTATTTTTAAATAAGTTTTTATATCTTACAGATGTATTTTTTAAATCATGTGTCTGTGTCTGTATGCGGACATGTACATATGAGTGAAAATGCTTGCAGAGGCCAGAAAAAGGCATGGGATCCCTGTGAAACTGGAGTTACAGGTGTTTGTGAGCTGCTCAATGGGAGTGCTAGGATCTGAATGCAGGTCCTCTGGAGGGACCAGAAGCCCTCATAACCACAGAGTCATGTCCCCAGTCCCCTCTGTGGGATTCGCTGAATAGGACCGCACTGCTTTGTGGGCACTGGTAATCAAATCTGGGTCCTCTGTAAAAATAACAAGTATTCTTAGCCAATGAGCTGTCTCTCCAGCCAAGTATCATTAGTTTGAGCTAATTTATTTGTGAGAAAAGTCTAGAAAAGCACAATGAAAACGGTGTATATCTGCATTCCACTCATACTGTAACTGGCTCTGACTTTCTTTTTGTACTATCTGATCTATGTGATTTTCCTTTTATATAAGACACTCTGTTAACTATGTGGGGGTGGCAAGGAGACTAGCAATAGAGTCCCCAAAGTTTTCTGTTTGTCTGAGAAAATATTTCTCCTTCTGTTTTGAAGGGCAGCATCTCACCAGTAGAGATTTGCATGTGGGTTCCTTTTCTGAGATCAGGCTGTAGACAGTGGGTGCTTTTTCTAACCAACTAAACACCCTCCGTTTCTTGCAGCCTTTTACGGTTTCTGAGAAGCCTTTGTTCCGACATAATTAGACAGCTTTCCTTTGGCTCTTTCTGTGACTGTGCTAGTGAGAATATGATGTGCTGGACTGTGGGGAGGGGCTTGCTTTTGTTTTCTGTTTGTCCTACCTTCCTCTGATGACTTGCTTTGGGACATTAGGAAATTCCAAGTCCTTATTCCTTCAACTATTTCCTCCCTGCACTTTCTTTCTTTCTTCTTATGGGCTTTCCATTCTTGATACATTAAACCTTTTGTACTTGTTCCACAACTCCTGGATAGTCTGTCCTGTTTTCCTCACTCCTTTTTCATTTTCTGTTTGTGTGGAAGTCTCAAGCTCAGAGATCCTTCCATGACCTGGATCCAATCTGCTATTGTGTTCACCACATAATAGGAAGAATGGGAGAAGATGGAGGACATGCTGGAACCAGAAGCAAGGCAGACGCCAGCCAGCTGGACACAGAGAAGCTGTGGAAGTTAGACATTCTTCATTTCTGTGATGGTAGTTTTAAATGCTATCAATAAGACATTCTCAGAATTTCCATCTGTTCTGATGCACTAGCCACTGTTTGTCTGCTCTTTCCATCAAAGCTCTTTGCATATTAATAATATATGTTTTAATTTCTCAATTTTGTCACTCCAATGTCTAACTTATTGGAGTCTGGTTCTTATATCTGCTCTAACTCTGACTTTAAGCTATTTTTGTTGATGTTGCTTGCCTTTTAGTATGTCATATGTTTATACTAGCATATATAATTTAAATAAAAATATTCTTGTAAGAGGGAGTCCCATGTATTGAATCTAAGGTCTAATGCATGATAGAAAAGTGTCGCTGTTGTAGAATATTATTTTAACTAGGCAAAGTTGTGCTACATTTGTTTTTGCTGTGGAATATTACTTTAATTGTGCGAAGGTGTGTTTCATTTGTTTATGCTGCATTTGTTTAACGATGTAAGGATGTGTGTTTAATTATGTAAAGATTTGTTGCATCTGTGTCATCTTGCCTGCCTAAGGCGTCTGATTAGTCTAAGAAAAAGCTGAATGTCCAATAGTGAGGCAGGAGAAAGGATAGGTAGGGCTGGTGGGCAGAGATCCCAGGGGGAAAAGAAGAACGGAAAGATTGAGAGAAGATGGAGGACATGCTGGAATAGAAGCAAGGCGGACACCAGCTAGCTGGACACAGAGAAGCTGTGGAAGTTAGACCTACAGATGTAAGGAAAGTAATAAGCACCAAGGCAAAAGGTAGGTGAATAGAAACAGGTTAGCGTTCGTTAAAAGAGCTAGTCATAAAGGTGCCTAAGCAAGGCAGAGCACTCTTCACTAATAATAAGTTTCTGTGTCATGATCTGGGAGCTGGTTGGTGGCCCAAAAAGTAAAGGCCTGGAGTATGCCTCTGGGTCTTGCTTTTTTTGACACAGTCTTTTTACCACACATTCCAGGCTGCCTTGCAACTGTGGGCTGCCTGCACTTACTCTTAGAGTGCTGGGATTACAGCACTTACTGTTTTATATTTTATTAGCCAAGTTGCCTAGTGCTTCTAAAGTTTATTGGGGGAGGGTCTTCTTATGCTTTATTCACCAAACATGATATACCAGGTAAAAGAAACTTTTTTTAAAAAATTCGTATCCTTTAATGAAATGGAATACGGGGCACAGGGCATGTGCAGTGACCAAGTGTCAGTCTTTTAGTGTGCGTGTGCTGCTGATGGTGCTTGATGGCTTGATGGTGCTCACAGGAGCCTCTCATTTCCACACTTTCCATGGGGCTGGATAGATGTAGGAGCCGGACAGTTGCAGGCTGAGGTTGTTTGGGGTTAGGCTCTGGTAAACTGTTTCTCCTGACAGTGGGCCATGTTAAAGAGAATGCTCTGTCATGATTCAAAATATCAACTTTATTCCCTCCCTGTCAGATGCATGAAGGAGTGGGGTCCCTGTTCTCACCACATATCACTAGTATATCACATAGACGCGAAACTCAATTTCTGGAGATCACAGGAGGACCCTCATTATAACTGGGTGCCTGGCGGACTTTCCACACTAAGATACGCATCCAATTGCAGCATAGGAGTGCCCACTCAAGCATTGCTTCTTTCAGAGGTTTCTGGTCCAGTAGATTGTGATTCTCTCTATCTGGGCTATCACTCTAGTTGGTTTTCTTTTGACCTTACCTCACATACAGATGAGCTACTGATCTTCATTTAGTTCAGCTTGTGATTTTAAAGACAGATTGTGACTGCTAAGCATCTCCTATGCCAGACTGGAAACCTAAGAAGTTTCCTCAATGCTGTAAAACAGAATTTGCAAACTTCAGCTGAGGCAAATGCAACAAAGCTTAAGAACTTCTTCCAGAAAGAACTTCTGGGCAAATGACTAGGAAAGGCCATGGCTGAGACGTCTCTGAGCCCTGAGACAGGTGTGCATGCTGCAGTCCTTCATCAGATCTCACAGTGCCATGTCTTCCTGACTACTCCAATGCGCCCCATCCTGATGGTTATGAACTCTACCCCCTCTGGAACTATAATAAGCTGGAATTCAACAAATTCTTCCTTCTGTAAGTTAAGAAGAAAATAATATGGCCCAGTCCCATTGGGTGATTAAACAAAGTAGATCTAAACTTAATGAAGCAAGGAAGACAATAAAAACAATCATTTAAAGGAAAACTACAGATTTTAAGCAAACCTGGCAATCTGTTAGTGTTTCCTACAAAGCTAAAAGTTCACTTGCTGAGCCAGGAAGATGGCTCAGGGGGTAAAGTCCTCACAAGTTGAGGTGCAACCTTCGGACCCATATGGTGGAAGGAAATAACCTCTCTTGCAGTTGTCCTCTGACTTCCACGTGCACGTCGTGATATGTGCCCCCACCCCAATAAATACATGTAATAAAAAACTTGAAGGGGGGAGCTCTTGGACCCCAGACTGATGGCTGAGAGGGCATCATGGAACTGATCCAGACCCCCTGAATGTGGGTGTCAGTGAGGAGGCCTAGGCAATCTATGGGGCCTCAGGTAGTAGATCAGTATTTATCCCTGGCATACAAATGAACTTTGGGTGCCCATCCCACAATGAGGGATTCTCTCCCAGCTTGGACTCTTGGGGGAGGGCCTAGGTCCTGCCCTGAATGAAATGTCAGACTTTGGATATCCCCCATGGAGGGCCTCACCCTCCCTGGGGAACCGAGTGGGGACTGGGTGTAGGGTATGGTGGGGGTGTGGGGAAGGAGGGAGAGGGAGCTGGGATTGACATGTGAAGCAAGCTTGTTTCTAATTTTTAAAAAAGGGAAAATTATTCCTAGGGGCATTTTTGGAAGTATAAAGACTTTTCATAGTTTATAAAGATTTTATTTTGAAGATAAAACCTCAAGAAGATTTTATCTGAGTACAATAAAGTATCTTTATTTAATGATAGAAAATATGACTGAAACAGAAATATACATATATTGTCTGGCTATGCCATGTCTTATGTTTCAAGTTTATTCAGTGTGTGTCAAGGTCATTTGAAAATATACAATAAATCTAGCTACAAAATTCAGAAAAGTCTCCTAGACTGTGGCATACACTGCAAGGTTGCACATTTGAGGGTATTGAACAAATGAATCATCCCTTACAGCCATTGTGAATAATTTAAGAAATGACATTTAGTAAATTTGAGGGAGTCACTTTCTGTAAAGTTGAACAGCGATCTCCAAGTACAAGTTGCTTAGTGAAGCAATGACCTACAACCTGACCTGAAAATGAAGTACTTCCTCATGATCAATTAAAGACAATCTTTAATTGAACATTTTTAGCCATAACCCACTATCAATATGTGATTTAAAAGCTAACAACTGAGTAGCAATAGCAGCCAACAGAATTAGCTCTTAGAACATGTGACAAAAGAACCTATATCCTCTGTATGAGCAAGCTATTTCAACCCAAAGAGAACTAAAGACACTGGGAGGGATATCTGAAATATTTAAAATGCCTATGTCTAAGTTAGGATATTTAACACTAGAATGTCATGTTTCTCAGCTTCCTTTATACATAATAGCTTCCCATGCATGGAAACATCTCAATAGAACCCAGACAGATTAGAGTTCACAAGTTGTCCACCAATACCATCTCTGCATTACTGATATGGGTCTTCTTAGTTCATATGTTCAATCTTGGAAGTCCTTCAAGATTGTTTGTACCTGATTCTGTCTGTGGAGAAAGGTCACTGAGGCACATCCATTAGAAATGATGGCGGGACTCACAAGATAGCACAATGACTAAAGGTTCCTGCCACTGAAACTGATAATCTAAATTTGATCCCCAGAACACAGATGGTAGAAGAAAACTCATTCCCACACATTGTTCCCTGACCTCCACATGCATGCCATGAGGTGTACACACACAAACCCACAAAATCTTTTTTTAATGGCCAATTGCTCTTCATTTGATTTTAAGACTATCATTTTGAGTGACTTACAATGTTTCTTTTATGTTTTTTCCCCCCATAGGCTGCATTTTGTAGGTTGTATATATCAAGAAAATATCCATTTATTTTAGATTTTCCAATGTGGTGGAATACAGGATTTTAAAGTATGCCCTTACAGTTCTCTGACTTTCCTCAGTGTCTGCTGTCGTGTCCCCCCTCCCCTGTGTCTCTAATTTTGTTAATTTGGATATTCTCTCACTGCCTTTCAGTTAATTTGGCTATGGGTTTGTCAATTGTATTGATTTTTCAAAAAGAACCAATTTTTTGTTTCATTGACTTTTTTGGTTTCTATTTTATTGGTTTCAACCCTGTTTAATCAATTATCGACATCTACTCCTTTTGTGTAATTTTTTTCTCTAGGTCTTTCAGATGTGCTGTCAAGTTACTAGTATGAGATCTCGCTAATGTTTTTACAAAGACAGTGCTACCAAACTTGCCTCTTGGTACTATCTTCACTGTGTCCCATAAGTACAAGTATGTTCTTAAAGCTTTTAATTTCTTTCTTAATTTCTGTCTGGCCCATTTTTCATTCATTGGTGTTTTTTTTTATCTTTCATGAGTTTGTAAGCTGTTGTTTCTGTTATTGTTGATAGTCAGCTTTAATCCATGGTGGTCTAGTAAGTTGCAGGTTATCCCAATTTTCTTGTTATCTGTTTAGAGTTGCTTTGTGTCCAATTATGTTTTAAATTTTAGAGAAAGTTCCATGAGCTTCTGAGAAAAGGGTATATTCTTTTTTGTTTGGGTGAAATGATTTGTAAACACCTGGTTTATGATGTCAGTTAGCTCCGGCATTTCTTTGTTTAGTTTTTGTCTGAATAGCCTGTCTCTTGGTGAGAGTGGGGTACTGAAGTTACCCAGTATCACTGTGTGACGGTAAATAAGTGATTTAACCTATAATAGTGTTTATTTTATAAACTTGATTTCCCTTGTGTTTGGTGCATAGATATTAAAAATTGCAATATCCTTTTGGTGGATTTTTCCTTTGATAAGTAAGTGACATTCCCTGTCTATTTTGATTAGATTTTATTTGAAATCTTTTTTTGTCAGATATTAAAATGATTTTACTGGTTGTTTAAGTCAATTTGCTTGGAATAACTTTTTCAATCCTTTTACCCTGGGGTGATAGCTATCCTTGATGTTAAGGTGTGTTTCTTGGATGCAGAAGAAGGAAATAGTCTGTTTTCACAACCACTTTGTTAATATGTATCTTTTTATTGGGTGATTGAGATCATTGATGTTGACAGTTATCTATGTGCAGTGTTTTTGATTCCCATTATTTTGTGGTGGTGATCCCCCTCTTCTTCTGATTTGCTGGTCTGATACTATTTATTCCTTATGTTTTCTTGGGTGAGGTTAGCCTCTTCAAGTTGAAGTTTTCCTTTTAGTGCTTCCTGTAGGGCTAGATTTGTAGACAGGTTCTGCTTTAAGTTGGTTTTATCATGGAATCTCTCTCTTCTCTCCATCTATTGTGATTGAAAGTTTTTCTGGGTATTGTATTCTGATCTGGCATCTATGGTCTCTTCGAGTTTGTACACATCTTACCAGATTTAGAGTCTTCATTGAGAGGTCAGGTGTTATTATAGTAGTTCTGCCTTTATATGTTATTTGGTCTTTTTCCCTTGAAGTTTTTAATATTCTCTTTGCTGTATACACTTGGTGTTTTGATTATTGTGTGTCATGGGGAATTTCTATTTAGTGTTCTGTATGTTTGTTACCTTGGTAGGCACTTCTTTCTTTAGGGTGGGGAAATTTTATTCTATGATTTCATTGAAAATATTTGCTGTGCCTCTGACATGGGTTTCTTCTCCTTCCTTTGTTCCTAATATGTATAGATTTGGTCTTCTGACAGTGTCCCAGATTACCTGGATGTTTTGTGTCTGGAAATAAAGCAGTTACATATATTTTTAATCTAAATAAGGATGAGAATGGAAACATATATGTGGAAAATGGCAGCATTTAAACATTTTCTTTAAGTGGGGTATACATTTCTTTTATCATATTTTCAGTGACTGAGATCCTCGCTTCCACCTCTTATATCCTGTTGGTGAGGCTTGCCTCTGAGGTTTGTGTTTGAGTTCCTGAAATTTTCATTTCCAGTTTTCCCTCAGTTTGTGTTTTCTTTATTGATTTTATTTCTACTTACTAGTCTTGAATTGTTTTCTTCATTTCATTCCACTGTTTTTTTTTTTATTTGTGTGTGTGTGTGTTTTCATAGATTTCTTTAATGAATTTGTTCACATCTTCTGTGAGGACCTCTTCTGTGAGGACCTCTTCTGTGAGGATCTCTTCTGTGAGGCTATTTGGAAGTCCTTGTCTTTGCTTCAGCTATAGTGCTTTTCTCAGGGCCTACTGTAGTAGGGTTGCTGGATTCTAGTGAAGACATATTGTCCTGGCTGTTATTGTTTGTGTTTTTATGCTGGTGTCTAGGCATCTGAGTTTGGGATGATTGCAATTTTAGGTGCTGATATTGAAAGACCGCCAGAGTGGGGAGACCCTCACTCAAGTCTCGGGATAAGTCGACACTCCAATAATTCAAGAGAGACCATTCTTGATGCAAGCACACAAGGTTTATTCGGGGAACCAGTACACTGGGGCCGAGCTCATAACCCTTGCAGGGGCAGAGGAGTTCAACCCCTAGTAGCTGCAGTCGGAGTTTTTTAAAGGGAAAAACCAAATGGGGGAGTTAAGCAAACATCATAAAGGATGGGGAAGTTAAATGATAGCTTATGTCTTAACAGGAAGGTTTTCTCAAGCAAGCATTCTTTGGGCATTGTATAGTTAAACATTGAGCAGGAATGTGGTGAGTTAGTTCCTGGATCAGGGAGTATTATCTTTAACATTTATCTTGAGGTCTCTGGTTTCTCGGGAGAGGGCAGAAAGACAAGTTACTCTGTGATGGGCTAGTCGCTAGGGGTCTAAAAATGTTGAGTTGGGATCTCTAAATATCTGGTTTTGTCTTTCTTGGGTGGGTATTTTGTTCCTTAGTTCCTATTGTCATTTCTGGTTCTTAGTAAATTATGGTAGCTGTGGGTTGTATGGTGGGGAATGCTTCTGAGATCCTGATAAGTGTGGCCACCTGAGATGGGGGAGTCCCATTGTGTTTCTCAGTATTGCAAACTAACACTTAGTGATGGAGATTGACTTGGGGGCTGGGGCTGAGGAGGTTCACAGGAATGAGAAAAACAGGTTGTACCACACTAGGATCAACCTAGTCTCCTGAAAATGGGGGCCGAGAGAGAGGAGCACGCACAGCTGACAGTCTGCTACAGAGCTGGGGTGAGCCCGAGGATTGGATTTGGAGCAAAGGAAGGAGAGTGGAGATCAGCTTCCCTGGCCTGTGTGGCCCATGGTGTGGCAGGAGTGCCTGAGGGAGTGGGAGGCTGAGATTAGAGGAGGATGACCAAGTGAGAAAGGCTGTAGGAGATCCACGTGGTCTTCTGGAGATGGGAGGGGGGCAGAGAGGAAGGGGCAGCTGCAGCAGGGGTCTGTAAAGAGCTGCAGCACAGAAAGGGGAGGAGAGGAGGGCGAGCGAAGGTTTGAGGAGCACCCTGGATGGCATGGCTAGCGGGGACCCTGGGAACATTTGTTAGACAATTTAACTATATCAAGATTTATAATAATTGCCAACAGAAATAAAGCAGTTACATACATTTTTAATCCAAATAAAGATGAGAATGGCAACATATATATGGAAAATGGCAACATATATATGTAAATTTCTATAAATAATGTTATTTAAAATGCCTACATAAAATATTAAAAACAGAAATACTAAAATTACAAACATCAGAACTTAGAAATTCCCCTTTATGCTCAGCCTCATTTTTCTCATTACTTATTACATTAATGAAGATCTAAACACTTCCTGTTGCCTTCCAAGATTAAATGAAATACTACATCCTAAACTGAGATTTTAGAGTGAGTTATCTGCAAGTGTGTCCTGCCCTCCAGTGGTATGTGCAATAATATCTTCACTGCAGCTGTCAGCCTTCTGAAGGGAAGTGACCTCTGTTACAGGAACATCGGGACTACTTTTACATGAACACTGGGAAATTATGCTACACTGTACAGCAACATCTGCTGTTGTCCCCAGAAGCAGCTCTTTTTCTGTCTGTACCCCTAAGTCACACCTGCTAGCCTGAAGTACACAATCGTTACTGGTCTTGTTTTGTGAGATGTATTCTGAATTGTGCGGAGACACTGGAAATGTATCAGTATTATTCTTCACTGAAGACTGGGGAAAATTATCTTTCTGTTTATGAATTTTGACCTTATTTTTCACAGTTATGTCACCTAAATGCTCTTCCTCCTTCTCGAGACAAAAAACATCAGTTGTTTCTGTGGCTTTCTTAATTGACTCTTCAGGTTGCTGCTGTGTCTGATCTTCATCTTCAGATATCTAAAGGAAATGAAAGAAATCTATGGTAAGTTTAAAATGGCCATTTCAAAGCAGTCTTTGAATCCAGAGTATAGGAAATTGTGGAAAATTGAAGAGAATATGGTTAGTTACAAATCAAAGCAGATATAATATCAAAGCTATGGGTTTTAAAACAGCAATAACAATTGTCACTGCAATAAAATGCAAAAGAGAAGAGCTGCCTTGTCCTCTTCTCAGTACTACTGTCACAGGCCCCATTCTGCCACAGCAGTCTTCAGCTACTTAAAAAGGGCAGAGCAGTAACATGTTCCCAGGGAGCAGCTACTAAGCTTAACCCTGTTCACTCATGGGCTCATTAAGGGAAACATTTATTAGGGTCATCCCATGAAAAACACTTAAGAAGAAAATGAAGGTATCAGATCACTGGAAATTGAGTGGTTACAGTAAATACTGCAACTGTTCATAAGGGGACAAGCTTTGCTGCCTTCCATTTCTCAAATTTAAAAATAAATTTAATAATTCATAATTTTATGAAGATTAATGAAAATACCATTTGGATGTTGTAATTAAAATGTATTGTTTCCTGGGATTGTAGCTCAGTAGGAGAATTCTTGCCAAGAATGTGTGAAGCTAGCATTTCAGTCACTCCCATGGTGAGGAAAAAATAAAACACATACTGATTATTCAAACTGGGCAGTAGAGAGATAAAGTTTGAATGACAAAAAACTAAAATTAGATCTAGACTTTAGCAGACTGACACCAGGAAGCAAAAGTAGCCCAAGAAATGCACAGAAGTTAGTTAAGCGCAAACTGGAGAGAGCGAGTCTTGTGCATCTCATCCTGTCAACATGAGGGACAGCTGCGCTCACATAGAACAGAGCTGCTGCTTGCTTAGACATACATTACAGAGGTGAACATGAAATTCATCAAGCAATCATACACCTGCACACACTGAGAAAAGTATAAAGAATAAAGCACCTTGCAGACGTAGCTATGAGGCCTTATTTAGACTGGGGAGCCATTGAAGAACTCACCGCAAGCATACTGACACTTGAAACACAACTAAGAAGAGACCCGAGAGGCAAAATACATAAAAGAATGGATCACCAGTGAAGAGAGCAGGCAGTACCTGCAAGGCGTAAGTGAGGAAAGAACTGTCTGAATAGGAGTCCATTAGCTCAGGAAGTAGGGCCAACCTCATAAAACCAAAGCAGGGAAGCAACTGGCAAACCAGTGTGTGTAGATAGGGACACAGACGGGAGACCGATGGGAGACCATCCCATGTGATCAGGAGCCAGCATTCACAGAGTCAGGGGGTGCTGTAAGGAGTGTGGGTAAGTTAGTAAAACAGGAACCCACTGGATGAGATTAACAGGATTGAATGTGTGTTCTTAGAAAGTCATGAACTTTGCTACCCGGAGACAATGTTGGGGCAAAAGCAAAATACTAAGATCTTTTGAGAAGCAACCACAATCATTCAAGAGCAAACTAGTGAGAACATAGAGTAGGGTTCTAGTGAGAAATAGGTAAATTAGAAGTTGATCAAGTGGCCGGGCGATGGTGGCGCACGCCTTTAATCCCAGCACTCTGGAGGCAGAGGCAGGCGGATCTCTGTGAGTTCGAGGCTGGGCTGGACCGATAGCCTCCGAAACAATACAGAGAAACCCTGTCTCGTAAAAACCAAAAAAAAAAAAAAAAGTTGATCAAGTGAAGTGAGTGACTGGGAGGAGGCAGAGTGGGGTTAACTGTTTTCTAGGATTCTGAAATGAACACTTGGGTACACTGAAATAATTGATATGGGATTACCACTTAAAGGAGGATTCAGTTTGAAGTACAAACAGGTAGAGATTCTCTTCACTACCCAAGAAATGTAGAAAAGATCATTTAAATATGGGTCAAAGCTAAAGTCATCAAGCAGCACAACAGTCATCCTAGGGTGCACAAGAACATTGCAGCTTTAGCACACAGGATGACAGAAGGTCCTGGACAGAGCCCTAGTCAGCACAGCATCATGCAGGGAGAAGGACAGAGCATAAGGCTGCAATGGTATAGGAGGGGAGGAAGCTAGCACAGCATCTTGATGGGGAAGCAGAGACAAAAACCACTTCGTTTGTTTACGGTAGTGGGGAATGACTGAAAGCAAGAGCTCTAACACTGAGCTAAACCCTGATCCTCGCACAAATGTTTTAGAAAGATGAAATAATTTCCATCGTGATCAGGAGTCCTTGTAACTGAAGGCTCAAAAGGCTGTGTGTTGGTTGGTTAGTTCACTTTGTCACAGCTGGAGTCATCTAGGAAGAGGGAACATTCATTAATTAAGGGAAAGCCTCTATCAGCTTGCCTGTAGGAAGGTCTATATGGTTTTCCCTTGATTATTGAGAGATGTCGCTGGTGGGGTGGGAGGAGCAGCACACCGTGGGTGGGGCCACCAGAGGCAGAGGTCCTGGGCTGTGTAAGACAGCAGGCTGAGCAGACCATGCAGAGCGAACCCGTAAGCAGCTTCCTCCATGGTTCCCATGTCTGCTTCTGCTTGAGTTCCTACCCTGACTTCCCTCAGTCGTCACATATGATTAGGACATTTAAGCTAAATAACTCCTGTCTTCCCCAGGTTGCTTTCGTAATGCTGTTAAAGTAACAGAATGGTCACTAAGATAGTCTGTAAATACAGAAGTCACTGGTATCCATAGCAAACAGTCTGGATGGCAAAATAGAGACCAGAGACAGAAATAAGGGTAAGGAGTGAAGGGAGGAAATTCTCATTTAAACATGGCTTATCAATATAACATGCCACTCTAGTATGATTTTAGTCTTGAATAATTCTGGGCAGTTTGCCTCATTTTATAAGCTTTGAGACTAAATTTTTAATGTTTACTTGGTTATTATATATATTACAAATTAAATATATTTCAAATTAAAATAAATTAAATTAATAAAATAAAACCTTTTAAAATAAATACACAATGTATAATGTTTAACTGTATACATTCACATGATACATTGTGCACACATATATCAAAGTGTGTGTATATATATCTTGATAAGAAGCTTTTATAAGAATATATTCATTATCCCTGTAAATGTATATCACTAATGCTCAAATGCATGGTTTTACTTTTTGTTTACACTTTTGTTTAAACTTTTTGTTTACACGTTTTTTTCCAGAATAACACAAAACTCATTTAATACATGTTGAAAGACTTCCACAATAAACATTTAATGATACCATCATTAAATACCCGTGAATTGGATTTAATTTATATTATCTTCTCAAGAAAGCTGGCAAGGACACACTGACCTGACATTTTTCTGATGCTGTTAAATACTTCATTAAGACCACTGAATAAATAGGATAGCAAATGATACAAGTTGTCTATGGCTTGAATGAGCATACTATATACAGTGATTTTTTTTTCCAACAGTGCTCCATGGTGGTCAACAAGGGTTATATCTTGAGTATCCAAGAGATAAAGCTATCCAGGCATGTTGGCTCATACCTGTAATTCTACACTTAAACTGAGGCAAGGGGACAACCTTGACATTAAGGTGAGTCTGTTCTATACAGTGAGTTCAAGGACAGCCTGGGCTACATAGTGGTACCCACCTCAAAAATAAAAACAAACACAAACCAACAACAGTGCAACAAGAAGGCCCTTTAAAATCAGGGGACGGGAGTATAGTTTTAAAGTAACTTTAGAAAGACTGCCTTTGCGTTTGCCTGTTCATTCCCTCTCTGGCCTGGTACTGAACACCACAGCTGTAAGGCCAGGGCCCCTTTACCCCTTTCCTTCCTTCTAACCATGACGCTGGAGCTGGTCCCCATCCCTTATGCCTCAGACCTATTAGAGTCCCATCAGTGGGGAGTCCCACCCTCAGCAAGTTCCACTGTACTCAGCTAGAGATAAAAAGTCCTTGTTCAAGAGTGTCACCACCACTGCCACCTGCAATGTGACAAATTTTCTAACATTTTTACATTTAAAATACGTTTAACTTTGAAAACCATTTTTGCTGATGTAATTTTTATTTCCACTATTGGCTCAACTCTTCTCAATGCAGAAAGAGAAAAAAAATCTGAAATTAATACAGCGCATACTAATAATCCCCAAAGCAGTGACTCACCAAGTCAGAAGTGGAGCCGAACGTACTTTCGGTGGGCTGTGGAGAGTAGCTGGCTGACTGGCTGCTCTGCGAAGACTCCAGATCTGAAATCAAGTGTCCATTCATGAGGGATGGTGCCACTCACACGCTAGCAAAGTAGATGACATCTAAGTTCCACTAGCATAACAAACAGCACTTTGAGGTGTGCCAAGCTTAAATTTTTTATGCGGACAGTTATTTATGATGAAAAAGAAAACTGAAGACAAGTGAAGGTTGATATGATTCCCAACAGGGTAATGTAAGGCTACTTTCTTCTCATAGAGTTCAGCAAGGAAGAAGCCTGTCTGTTGCAGGGATCTAGCCCATACCCACTTAGAAAGGGTGTGATGACAAAAAAAAAAAAAGACCTTGTTACCTTGTTGCTGGTAATTTAAGCACCTCTGCAGAAATGTAATCCTGTGACTGAGGTTCTGAGCAGCTGTGGAAGGCCTGCCAGCCTGTGTTTACTTGGGTCACGGCCAATGAATAATACACAAAATTCCTGAGTGAATGTGTAGGAATGGGTGAAGCCCCAAGTAGACGCATGTAGGTAGCATGAGCACAGCCATGTCAAGGACTCAATGCCTCAGATCCATGGAATGGGAAACCGTTCCTGGTCTGCATGCAGTACTGACAGTGTATACAGAACACACTGACTGAAGTATCTCCCTCCTGATGTTTAGGGCCTGAGACTGCTACCCCAAAGACCTTTCACTAAAAATGGACACACCTGCCTCCTTGTTGTATGCAAAACCTTCCTCCTCAATTCGGATGTCTAAAAGAAATGCTGTTTTCCAGGTTACTGTTGGTCTGTACTCCATCAGAGTGCACAGTCACCCACCCCAGCTTTTCTGTTATGTGTCTGTCATTTCTTCACTCTCATTGGCCCAGTTAGGTCAATCCCTAAAGTCATGCAGGTCATGGCATTTCTTAGATTTCATCTTTTTGACTGACCCAGACCCCCTGAATGTGGGTGTCAGTGAGGAGGCCTAGGTAATCTATGGGGCCTTGGGTAGTACTTATCCCTGGAGTACAAATAGACTTTAAGTGCCCATGCCACAATCTGGGAGGCTCTCCCAGCTGGGACTCTTGGGGGAGGGCCTAGGCCCTGACCTGTATGAAATTACAGCCACTGGAGATCCACCATGGAGGGCCTCACCCTCCCTGGGGATCAGAGTGGAGATTGGGTGGGGGACTCAGGGACCTGCTGGGGAGGGCAGGGGAGGAGGAGAGAGAGAGGGGGAGCTGGGATTGACATGTAAAACAAGATTGTTTCTAACCTAAATTTAAAAATAATAATAAATTTCATCTTTTTATTATTTTTGGCATGGCGTTGGTAGTGCATACCTTTAATCTCAGCACTCAGGAGGCAGAGGCCTCTTTGTGAGTTCGAGGCCAGCCTGGTCAACAGAGCAAGTGCCAGAATAGGCTCCAAAGCTACACAGAGAAATCCTGTCTCAAAAAAAATTACATTTTTGTGCTTTGATTGTTCCTTTGTTTTATTTTAACTGGTATCTCCCAGGGCAGATGGCTCTGGCCATTCTTTTTCTAAACCTACTGAGCAACACACAGTAACTTACATGTATCTCGTCATTCTTACTTTATTCTCTTGTTCCTTTCCCCACTATTTCCACAAAAAAAAACTCTGCTCTAAAACACTATACATTAAATTTCCCCACAGACTACTCTGGGGCCTCTGTCTCTGGATTTCAGTAGAAGCTGACATTGAACTGTAGTTGGATCCCTGTATATTGACTGCAGCCAGCTTCCCCCTAAAGGGCAGCAGGCAGTGGAAATGCAAATGAAGACAACTCTCCAGAACCCACACTAAATAAACGAAGTAAGCAAACAAACTCAGACTAGGAAAGAAGGAAAATTACCAAAGCAGATGAAACGATCAGTAATTTGGAAGCAAAATTAGCGACAGAGAGGAGCGATGAGCAAATTGGCAAAGAATGGGCTGGCAAAAACAGCAGAGACAGCTGATCCGAACAGGGGAGAGCTCTTGGACCCCAGACCGACAGCTGGGAGGCCAGCATGGGACCGATCCAGAACCCCAGAATGTGAGAGTCAGTGAGGAGGCCTGGGCAACCTATGGGGCCCTGAGCAGTGGATCAGTGTTTACCCCTCGAATACTAACAGACATCATGTGTCCATAACACAAAGAGGGATGCTCTCTCAGCCTGGACTCTTAGGGGAGTGCCTGGACCCTACCCTGAGTGAAATGACAGAGTCTAGATATCCCCTATGTGGAAGGAATTGGCAATAGGGTGGGAGGATGGGGGGGGGATGGTGGGGGAGTGCAGGAGGAGGGGAGGGAGAGGGAACTGGGATTGACATGTAAAACAAGCTATTTAAAATTAAAATAAAAAAACAAAGAAAAAATTGTAAGCATGAAGGAGAAATTCAGTCAGGAAATAGAAAGACAAAAAGAAAAAGAAAAAAGAAAGGAAAAAAAGAAAAGAAGAAAGAAAGAAAGAAAGAAAGAAAGAAAGAAAGAAAGAAAGAAAGAAAGAAAGAAAGAAAGAAAGAAAGAAAGAAAGCGAGCCTAACAGAAAATTTGGAAATTAAAGTGTTGGGCCCCAGCCTCCATAGGGTCTCTGTGAGTTGCTTGTCAATAACCACAGGTGCATCCTGTTTTCTAGTTCTGACTTACAGCTCCAGCCGTGCCCCACTGGTATCAACCTCTAATTATGAAAACATGAACCCTCACACCTGGGATTTCTCCATTGTGCTGTAAAGCTGTATATAAGGCTGTTCCCTCCTTGCAATAAACACACACACACACACACACACACACACACACACACAAGACATTAAAAATGAAAACCAAGCCAGTAATGCAAAAAAGTTTTAAAGTAAATAGAATAAGAAAAACAATTCCATCCATAAGAATAAAGGAAAGAATACATTTCATGGGAGAATACAAAAATGAAACTTAGCCAAAAAGGAATCCACCATGTCAGACCCTGTCAATTCCTTCTTTCAGGGCTCAGGGAACCCAATGGAAGAGGAGGCAGAAGTATAAGTTCCGTAGGAGATGAAGGACACCAAGAAAACAAGGCCTTCTAAGTCAACATGATCAACACACATGAAATCACAGAGACTGAGCAGCATGCACAGGGCCCTCATGGGCCTGAACCAGATGGGGCCCTAGAGTTGAAAGGAGAAGTAGACACATGTCCTCATCCCTAATCCAGAAGCTATCTCCAACTGATAACCACTTGGAAATGAAAACTTAACAAACTATACATATGGGCAGGCTGAATGTCCAACAGTAGATGGCCAATAGAAAATGAACTCACAACTTATCTTGTAATGCCATGTCAGGGAGTTTCCTTTTTATTAAAAATACATCTTATAATTTGTTATACCTTATATTTAAATATTGTTCTCTTCAGTCTTTCTACACTACAGGTCCTTTGTACATATCCTATGGCTTCCAGATTAATGTTTCTATAGAATTCCTGAGTACTGGCAAGTGGCCTCTGTCCCTTGTGCTTTCTTCCTTCTGCTTGTTTGTTTTGGCCTATTCAGATATATTAGTTTTTATTTTATGTTTTGTCATTTTATTTCATGATATTATTATATTATTAGTCCTTAGAAACCTGTTTGTTTTCTAATGGGAGATAGAAATGGATCAGGATGGGAGGTGGATGTGGGGAGAAACTAGGATGAATAGAGGAAGGGAAACTGTAATAAAAGGGAAAAACAAGTTATTTTAGAATAAAAAAATAGTGTCTAATAATGCCATACAGAAGCCATTGATTTTTATGGTAATTTAAGAGGTTTGGTTTTGGGGGTTGAATTTTTTGTTTATTTGTTGTTTAGTTTTGTCTTTTTGTGCCAGGATCTCACTATGTAGCTCTGTCTCTCCTGAAATTCACTATGTAGACCAGACTGAACTCTGCCTCCTGAGTGCTGGGGTTAAAGGTATATACCACCACACCTGGCTCCATTTTCACAAAAATTTAAAAGAAAATAAATTAATAAAATTGGATCAATTCACAAAGGTTTCTAAGTATCCTAGCAGACCAAATAACTAAGAACTGTGCTAGGACCAAAGACCTAAGACATACTTAGTAGTTACACTTTTATGGACAAAAGTCACTCTTCTATGAATCATGGGCATTTACAAGCCCTATAAACAATTAGTATGCAAGATTTATAAAAGACGCATAGGGCATAACAGATGTAGCTAGATGTCAACTATAAAAAGATACATTCCTTAATGAGAAGCAAGCATCTTAAAAGCAGCACTAGGCAGCATGGCATGTTCACCAGCATCTCTTTTCTAGCTGCTGAGAGGCTAAGGCAGAGTGATCATGGACCACAGTGAGATCTTGACTCCAAAAACAAAGCAAAAGGTAACATGAGCAAAATGTGGGACATGGCTAGCCAAGTAATCTAACCAGAAAAATAAAAACTTAAAACTACCATGAGTTATTAGGTTTAGATAATGATAAAAGATTGATACAGTACTAGTAGATACGTGACTTTTACCTGCTGCCTATGGAAGGCTAAAGAACACACTTACACTCTACAAAGCAAATTTGCATTACTTAGAAATGTAATAAATGTGCAACATGTGAAAGGTGGTTCTGTTCCTAGAAATATACCCAAGAACTTGCATACGTGTGTTCTAGTAATGTCAACAATGGTCAGAATAACTAAGGACGAAATATTGAGAACAGCACAAGTATCTGCTGCCAGGAGATGTATGAATCAATTAGAGCATGTTAATGCAAAGAATTCTGGATAGCAGAAAAACTAATCTGTGAAAGCTATGAATACCAAAATGAATGAACCTCAAAAATATAAATATCAGGGTAATATTGACCTCTAGGGCCCATTTTCTAAAGGACAGTTTGTATTGTCTCAAACTACCTGTGAAATTGTAAATTTACATTCTGTGTGCTCATCATGACTATTTTATAAAATAAAAAAGCAATTTTAAGGAATCAACTGTACTGTAGTCTATTCTAAAATAGCTTAAATATTTGCTTGCTGGTAGAAATCTTTAAAATTTGATTTACTTTCTTTTCTAAAATAATAAAGTTATCATATAGTTACACTCACAGATTTTCTCAGCAGACATTGACTTCCCTTTTAAAGGACAAATTCCTCTTCCTTCCATTGGGATCTAGAGAAAAGAATTAAACTTATAGCAATCCAAAGCATTCATAACACCTAACCAATACCACCAATTCATTTTATAAAAATTTTGCTTTATATTACTTTCATTCAACAAAGACATTTTCACAAAGAAAAAATATCCAACTAAATTTAAATTCCAATTGGCTTACCAACACTAAGAGTGCAGTAGACAGTTGATAAGAAATGAATCACTAGCAAAAGAAAAGGCTTCATGCTGTCACGGTGTATATAGTTAAACAAATGCAAGATACTAAAGTACTTGGGGGTATGATATACTATGCTTTTCTTGTTTTGTTTTTTAAGGTGGGATATCAGTTATTACTCTTCCTTTTAAAAATATAAACAAAGCTTAGAATTACCAATTGACTATAAAACACATCGTTGGTTATAATTTCATTATTATTTAATTTACATAATGATTTTTGTTTCCTTTCTTGTTTTTAAAAACCAGTGTTTCCTAATTTCTAGTAAGTAAAAAGGTTAAGCAACTGGGTTTATTTTGTTGTTCTACTCTGGATTTTTATAAAATCTGATGGGAGAATGTGGCTACAGGTATCCCTGCTGAGTGTCTGGGGTGCCCTTTATAACTGACATATCATATATCAGACTATAGAACAGTCTGCATAAAATAAAAGGCTCCCTTTATAGCTTGCTATATGACAGACTATATGATTTACCATATGATTGACTATATGAAAGGTGATATGACTTTCTATATAGCAGACTATATGATTTGCTATATGTCAAACTATATTATTTACTATATGACTATATGACAAGTGCTATGACTTACTATAAGACAGACTATACAACAGATGATATAACTTACTATATGACTAAATGACGATCTACATGGACTGAAAGAAGTGCTTTCTTTGTCTTTTGGTGGGACGTGGGGCCATAGATGAGTAAAGGAGATACTGTCTAGCTGTCTCCCTTTCCTTTTGAATGAGAAGCCAGTGTACACTTCTAAGCATGCCTTGAATTTGATATAGATACTACGTAGACATGGTAGAAATTTAATTTATAGCCATGAACAGAAGTAATGTGCACTATTTCCAATCCAAAACCAGTAAAATCTCAAGCTTGTTTACTTGTTTACAATGTAAACCACAAACCTGAGAACCGCCCAGAACAAAAGTCCACACCAGTGTGAGGCCTTGAGGTAACACAGGAGGAACATCCCTTCCCTAACTATTTTATCATTTAAAAAGACTTTCCTATTCATCTCTTGACATACTCAAGCACTAAACTTGCATCAACAAGAAGTGTTTGAGTCACACCATGCAACCAATATTAAATTTCCTATACCCATTATCTTTTCAAACTTTACATTTTGTATTTCTTTTCATTCTACTTGTTCTTTTTCATTGTAGATCTGTGTAAGAGTTACTGCTAATAACAACATGGCAGAGTCATTACTAGACTGTCTTGAAACATCCTCCACTAAACTTTAGTTCATTACCTATCACTTTAGCCATTCTTGGGCTAAGGCAGCTACATTCTTTGCCAAATAATACAAGAATGGTCACTAACCCAGTTGCTGATAATATTCTCCCTGGAATCTCTTGAGCTGGGCCTCCATAGTCTACATTGTTCTCAGCAATATTATCTTCCAAGCCCTACAAGGATGACCCACTCATTAAGCCTTGTTATCAGCATTCCCAAAGTTTTCCACATTCCTCCAAAACCAGCATGATCAGGTCTGTCACAGCAATAACCCATTCCTTGATTGCAATTTCTGTCTGAGTTACTTTTCTATTGCTGTGACAAAATGCCATGACCATGGCAACTTATAAAAGAAAGCATTTGATGTGGGGGCCTATGGCTTTAGAGCATTAAGAACTCAAGATGGCTGAGCACAGAATGGCATGAACAGCTGGAGCTTACATCTTGGTTCAAAAGATAAAGGCAGAAAGAGAGACTAGGAATGATGTCTTTTTGAAACCTCAAGCCTGTCCCCAGTGACACACTCCCTCCAACAAGGTCACACCTCCTATTCCTTCCTGCACTAAGAGTTCCATCAACAAATATTCAAATGTATGAGCCTATGGGGGTCATTCTCATTCAAACCACAGAGCCATGCAAAAGAGAAGAAACTTCCTTTGCTCTCCAGGAGAGCAAGGCTTCACTCAACCTGAGCTGCAGCAAGTCAGCCTTGCTAAGATTAGAAGTGCTGCATCATCTTTCTTCTCTCTCCATGTGCACTGTCCTAGCAAAGGCAGTGACACTGTTACATACAGTCGATATTCAATACATATATACATAAGGGTCGCTTATTTTTAATCTTTGTATCTATGACCTAGAAATGTCTAGAGCTTTTTCTTCTTTGACATCTTTTAAGGTAAGAAAAGACAGCCCCTTTTCAATTATTGTGCTAATTTCAAAGAACCTCTCATTCCTTACATTTTATGTAAGAAAGTGACTTTCATTTATCTCTATCTTAATCACATTCTCTACTGTAGAGGAGGAAACAAAAAAAAATGAGAAAGGGACTCCAACTGGGGAGAAAGAAGGGAGCTCAATCCAGAAGGAGAAGTGAAAGGGACAAATAACATTAAGGTTGCTCTTTTCTATGCACCTAAAACTACACATGATACATGTAAGTACATGTGTGTATAATATATGATGTAAGTACATGTGTGTATAATAGATGTTGCCAGAGCTTACCTGTATCTTAAGTTATCTCATCTGTTTACAGCTCAGTTTAGAGGGTACATCTATATTATTCATAATGGAGGAATATGAGTTTTTAAAAAACAGGACAGCACCCAACATCAATGACCCCTACCCCAGAAAGCACCCCTTTCTGCTTTCTGTAATAGTGTTCTACTGGTATTCCTCCAAGCTTCTTGCTAAATCACTTAGTCTCTTCTGCCTTGCTGAAATGCTGTGGCTTCTCTGGAAGCTGGCAACTAATTCTAACCCTTTCTCTTGAGAACTGTATACGTGGATATATTCCATGGAGACCTATGGACTAAAGACTCAAAGCACCAGCTGGCCTACAGCCTGTCCACATGAATGCCTAAAACACACCATCACATAGACCAGGAGGTTTTCAGAAGACTCTCAATCAAGCTCAACATGTCTACTTTATCATTCAGAAATCTGTTCCTCCATGAATCAGACTTAGAGTAGGAATTGTTTTAAAAACAAACAAAAGACATGTACATCACAAAATATATAGTAGCACAATTACTTCTTTCTCTAGCAACAATCTCCTGGTAAATTAACATTTTTCCCACACACAGCAGTTCAGAGACCCGGCCCTTTCATTCTTATGCTCCATTGTTCCTTAAAAACAGCATTGCCATGCAGTCATCAGTAAAAAGAGAATGTGGAAAAGCAGCAGCTCCCGCTTGCTTCCTACAAGTCTTAAACTAGAGCCATGTATGTGACCTCGGCTAATTTGTCATTAAAGTTCCAGCTACAAGGTAAGCCATTGTGGAAATATGTTACTTGGCTAGGAAACCATTTCCCAGCAATAGCTCTTTGCACAGAGGTAAACGAACAGTAAGTTGGCCTTTTCTGACATGTCCTATATTTTCAACTTTGGTGAATGGGGCCATTTTGCTTCCCATTTACCTAAACCATTAGCTGTACGCTTTCTCAATTTCTTCCTTGTCCTTTACTAATCACAAATCATAAAGTTCTTTTAAATTCTCAATATAAATCATCTTCCCATCCTTATTACCACTGCCCAACTTTAAGAACTCATTATTGGTACCAACAAAATGACTCAGAGGAAAAAAACACATTGCACAAGCCTAATGACCTAAGTTCAATCTCTGGGACACACATGAAAGTAGGAAGAGAAAGCCAATCCACAAAGCTATCCTCTGATTTTACACATATGCTGGGTTATGTGTGGCCCTCCTGCATCAATTAATAATCAAGACAGCCTCAGAGATCTATCCACAGGATAATGTAATCCAAGCAGTTCCACGGTGGAAGCTTCTCTCAGATGGTTCTGGGCTTCCTCAAGTTGACAATTAAAGCTAACTAGGACATGTGGCCTTGAATGTTTCTGTTAACCAAATGTGACTGTTGCCAAAGTCAATCTATACTATTCTAATGTCATCTAATGCTTCTGCTATAGTTTTTAGTGGGCCTCTCTTTGGTGACAGGTGATTCAAGTACTAAACATCATACAAGTTCATTTGTGACCTGGCTCTTCATTTTGCCCATAATTAATATTTTGCCACTCCAGCACTCCTTGTAATCTGTTAGGAGTGGGACAATAACTGGAATTAAACTAGATTCTTGAACTTTGTAATCCAAACTAACAAACAACTCTCTAACATCTCACTTTCTGTGTTACTACACCTCTAGACCAGTGGTTCTCAATCTTCCTGAAGGTGCAACCCTTTGACACAGTTCCTCACATTGTAGTGAACCCCCAATCATAAAATTACTTTGTTATTACAACTTTAATTTTGCTACTGTTGTGAATCATAATATAAATATCTGATATGCAATCCCAAAGGGGGTTGTGACCTACAGGTTGAGAACCATTGCTCTAGACAGTCTATGCATACAGCAAACTCTTCATTTAAAGCTATGCTCAGAAACTGCATCCCATGTAATGTCTTGCTATTAAAACCCATGAAACTTTAAAGCCACTTTCACTAGGCTACTGGTGACCTTTGTAAAAATTAAATAGCAGCCACTTATCTACACGCATTGCATTACTGTCTACATAGCTTCAGAAGGGTTTTAAAGGCAGATTATATATTCTTTTACACATACAGTGTATAACAGAATGTAATCTCTAAGACTTTACACCTGTGCTTAGTGTACAGAAGACACTGTCTATCGCATGAATTTATATCACTCGACACACACTTATTACCTTTGTCAGGGTTTCTATTGCTGTGATGAAACACCATGACCAAAGCAGTTTGAGCAGGAAAGGGGTTTTTTGGCTTATGCTTGTACATCACTGTTCATTAGCAAACAAACAAACAAACAAACAAACAAACAAAACACAGGGCAGGAACTCAGTCAGGGCAGGAATCTGGAGACAGGGGCTGATGCAGACAGAGGCCATGGAGGAGTGCTGCTTACTGGCTTGTTCATCATGGTTTGCCCAGCTTGCTTTCTTATAGAACTCAAGACCATCAGTCCAGGCACCACCCACAATGGGCTGGGCCCACCCCGTCAATCACTACTTAAGAAAATACTCTATAGCTGGGTCTTATGGAGACACTTTCTCAATTAAGGTTTCCCCTCCTTTCAGATGACTCTAGCTTATGTCAGGTTGATGTAAAACTAGCCAGCGTACTTATTAAAGAAAAATTATATACAAGAGTGTCTAATTATGTGCCAGTGGTTCAGTTCCTGACTCAATTCGACTCACCAAGAGAACAGAGAAAGTCAAAGCATTTTTTCAGCAAAGTCTTACAGTGCAGTAAGAACTATTTTAAATATGTCTAGAGTAACTTGTCTCAAATGAAGAACATTATTATTTTCTAACTCTAAGCCATAACTTTTCTAGTATAAGAGAATATGAGTCTAAATAAAAATAAATTTACAAATAAAAGATACTCTTACATTAATATAAACTAATTGCTAAAATATAACACCACAGACTGACTAATTAAAAAGACAATGTGACAATGAACTTTACCTCATTACGGTCAAAATCACATGACTGCTTATGATGTAATTCTTTCAAACGAATATCACCCCTAGGGATTATTTAAAAAAAAAGTGTTAAGGCCTATTTCCTCTGACAGTTATTATCCTAAATTTTGATTTCAAATCAGAATTATATGAGAAGCTTCTTAAAAATATGAATTGACAAGTACTATAGCAAACTGCTCATGCATTTTAATATGTAGGTTAAACATCTATATTTTCTTTGCATGTGCATATGTGTGTGCGCACAACCATGTGTGTGTACATGTGAATGCCAGAGTTCGACCTCAGGTGTTGTTCCTCAGGAGGCATCAACCTTGTTTTATGAGACAGGGTCTCTCATGGGTGTCTGGGGTTTGATCAGTAGAGAAAGCTAACTGTCAACAGGCCCCAGGAATCCTCCTGTCTCCTACTTCCCAGTGTTGGGATTAGCAATGTGCACCAATACACCTAGCTCTTGTATGTAGTGCTAGAATTAAACTCAGGTCCTGATGCTTGTGCACCAAATCACACTGAGCCAAATCCCCAGCCCTGAAACATTAATATTGTGGCATAATCCCTCCAGGTAATTTAAATTTGCACTCAATCTTGAGAATCAGGTCTTGTTTCCTTTCCCTCTTTATTTTTTTTGTTCTTTTGCAACATAGTGCCATGCATCCTAAGTCACTTTTTTAAAAGCTGACTTTAAAACTCAAAGCCAAACAAAATGTTTTACTCATAAACGTTCAGATAATTGAAGAACAAAGAATTTCCTTTCTCGATTTTAGAAATGTATTATGTGCCTAAATTTTAATTAATGAATGCCAACTCCATAAAATGGCATGTATGAATTCTTTTATTGATAGTTACCTTAAAGATTTCCATAAGAAATCACTTCCACAAAAAATATGAATAAGTAAATTGCAAATCATAAAAATCTGGTTAAATTATGATTATTACTAAGAAAACAGGACTACTCAGTAACTATGAGCTAAATAACATTCCCTTTCATTATCTATAATTGTGGATAATTTTGTAGAAAAGCCAGCAAGGCCACTTCAAAACTCAAAGGAATAAACCATGTTTTAAGAAATAACAAATCCGCTGGGTGTTGGTGGCACACGCCTTTAATCCCAGCACTCGGGAGGCAGAGGCAGGCGAATCTCTGAGAGTTCGAGGCCAGCCTGGGCTACAGAGTGAGTGCCAGGACAGCCTCCAAAACAATACAGAGACACCCTGTCTCAAAAAACCAAAAGAAAAAAAAAAAGAAATGACAGAACGTAACCAAAAGCATAACAATGAGGAGATACAGGGGACACAACCCTCAACATAGCTATTCTGTCACACAGGGGCCTGTGGGAGGTGAATGCTAGCATGCAAGGATGTGGAACACCAACTGTCACATAATGGGGACATTCTTGCTCATACTGCTTATACTGCCTCACTGAATTCTCATATTCCTTGTTGATTCTATACTAAACAAGCAACATTCCTGTGGGGACTGCAGAGTGAGACAACACGCTGTTTGTGCTAGTAAGCATTCTCCCCATGTGATACTTCTATTTCTGTTAACCAATAAATTGATATTTAGAAGATATATGGTGGATATTCAACACTAAATGGTCAAATAAGGTCTTTGAGACTGGAAAATGTGAAAACCGTAGGCTTAAAAGGTTACTATTACTTTTTTTTTAAAGGCAAGGCTTCTTTGAGACCAGTTTGCTTATCATCACAAAAACATTTTCATTGCCATGTTCTATTTGTTCATTTGAATACATTCCTACATGTAAGTCAAAACTTACGTAGAGTACACGGGGTATTCCCAGGTATTTCTCTGCAGTGCTTTCTCTTGGTCATCACTTTCAATTTTTCCTTCAAAAGTAAAATCATATGCTATATTAAACTTAGCATCATGGGTTTTGTTTTTGTTTTTGAGACTGGATTTCTCTGTGGCTTTGGAGGCTATCCTAGAACTTGCTCTGTAGACCAGGCTGGCCTCAAACTCACAGAGATCTGCCTGCCTCTGCCTCCTGAGTGCTGGGATTAAAGACGTGTGCCACCAATGCCCGACCAGCATCATGATCTTTGTGGAAATATCTATCTGTGTGCACATGTGTGTTCAAATATGCAGTATGTGGGTGGAGGTCAGAGGACAACATTCAGGAGCTGTTTCTCTTCTTCCACCAGGGGATCCAGGATTAAACTCAGGTCAGCAACAAGCCATCCTGGTAACTCTGAGGATGTTAAGAAATAGCATATATACTCTACTGGTTAGGGAATAATGGTAAGAAAAAAGTCTGTACATGTTCAGCAAAGGCATCTTAGATTTAGTCTATATAATTAGCTGAATCTAAAAATATAGAACACTGGGATGCAGAGGGCCAGCTGTGTGTGTGTGTGTATAAATAAATGAAATACGGTAATATATATTTACATATAGAGAAACTGAGTGTGCAATACCAACCTTTTCTTCCACGGCTAGTTGGGTGACAATCTGTCTCAAAAGATCTTCTAAATTCATGTATTTCTCTATTGCTGTACTCCTTCTGGTAAGGGGGCTTCTTTGACTGACATGTTCCTAAATAACTTGTATTAAGTGGAGGATTATGAAAAGTTGCCTGTGGAACTGGAAAATTCCCTTTGACGAACCCACCAGTGGAATGGCTTTCATCAGAAGAAACTACACAGGTGTCGCTCAAACTACCATAGCCACACTTATGTAAGGTTGGCATTCTCCCTGGCTGATCTCTGCTTAATAAATTGATCATGTTGTGACTAACAAACACATCTGAGTCATGATTGGATGACAGATGTCTCTGAGTTGGCTGGACCACATCTTCAAGAAAATTAGAGAAAGCTTTCCCATTACTCCCCCAAATCTGTTGCACTGATGTTTTTTCCATAGCAAAGTCTGGCTGTCTTCTTTCACACAGGCTTCCACAATCTTCACCCAGAATCACAGGTCTTTTAGTAAGGAAATCACCAGTTTCTGAACTTTGGAATAAATAGAAACATATTTAGCAGGAAAGGGTTGATCATTTTCATTTACAAACACTAGCTTCAATTGAAAACTTTGAAGAAGATAGATACTGAAGAGTGGCTAGCATTTCCAAAATTGCATTTTAAATTTAATATTTAAGCAGATAATAATGTTTTAGAGGGAAATCTATCCAATATATTCTTCTAATAATAGGCATGAAAATAATTTATACATGGTTCTGTATTTCAATGTGAAATTTAGTGAATAGTTTTATTTGTTATACTAGAAAACAAAACTATACTCAGTAGTCTGACTTCTACAGTACAGTCTAGCAAATAACCTAGTGTACCACTGTATGCTGCTGCTGTTTAGGCAAACAGAAAGAGATCCAGAAGACTGGGGCAAGGGAGTTATCTTACATAAAAAATATTTTAAGGGTTATAAAAATCATTATCAAAGATGTTTTCCAATTTAACAATTGAAACATTTAACAAAGTTCTCAATGAAGAAAAGATGTAATTTATTTAAAAGATAAGGTAACACACATGAAAACGAATTAGGTGAACTGGGTAACCTATAAATTCTTTTCATAAGCAAAAATGGAAACTCTGGTTTAAGTCTAACTTGTACTAACAAGCAAAGCTGACACAAAATGTTTACAACAAAAGTACCTTTTGTTTTACCACTGATGACTATAAACTCACTTGAGATTGGACTATTTCAGGGAATTCAAGTATAAAAATAAAGGGAGGAAACACAAGACTGCTAGCAAGAAATGTTTAATATTCACTTTATTTTTAATTATGTGTATTTACTTATGTATATTGGATATGGTAAGTGCAGCTGAGTGTAGGTGTCTACAGAAACCAACAGTGTCAAATCTCTTAAAGCTGGAGTTACAGGTGGTTTTTGCTGCTTGATGTGGGTGCTAGGACCGAACCAGGACACTTGTGAAAGCAGTATGTGCTCTGAGTCATTTCTTCAGCGTTAAAAATTCTGATTTCTAATTTGATTTTAACTACCTATCAAATATTTAAATAGAAATACTATGTTCTAGGCACAAGGTCATGGGTTGGGGATAGGGAAAGAACTGTTAGAATTAAACAGAGAGAAATTCATATTTTGAGCCATATGTTCATAGATCATGATTCCCTGTGATTTCTCAATGAGCATTTAATTAGTGCTTAATACTAAAGACATAATCCATTGTAATAACACACACACCATTAAAGCCAGAAAAGTTTTCTATCATTACAAATGGGAGAATAACATAGAACATAAGTTATAAAACACACTGTATGTTGAAATCATATTTTATAACTGATTTTCAGCATTATAAAAGATGAATTACTAAGAGATGTATAAAACAAAAACAGTTATTACCATAAGACATGTAATACAGTAAGGAAAAGGAAGAGAAAGTAAGAACCATAGAAGTGCTATCCTACAGTCAAAGTCTAATATAATAAACAAAAATTCTTCTACGTTAAGAAAATCGGTAAGGTGGCACCATCAAATTTGGGGTACCTCTTCAACAAATGTTTCTGGGAAATGAGATATTCACATACAGATTAAAACTCCACTGCTATTTCTCAGCTTCTACAAAAATCAACTCCCAGTGGAGCAAAGAACAGATTAGTGGAGTACTCCAGGATACTGGCAATGGTTTTGTGAACATTGCCACAAAGCACAGGAAACACTGTCAATATTGGCAAATGGTTTGTAGAAACTAAACCATCGAGAGGGTGAAGAGAAAGCCTATAGAACGTGTGGAACAATTTTCCAATTATAAATCTGTTAGAACCCTCCCTAAAGCCCAAATAATCAAATTTTAAAATGAGAAAATCTGGGCTGGAGAAATGTCGCAGCAGTTAAGACAATAGCTGCTCTTCCAGAGGACCTAAATTTGATTTCTAGTAACCACGTGGTAGCTCCCAACTGTCTATAACTCTAGTCCCAGGTGATTCAACAGCCTCTTCTGGCCTCCTTAGATACCAGGCACAGATACAGTCCACAGACATATATGCAGACACAACATTCAAACACATTGGATAAAATATTTTTAAAAAACTTTTCAAATGAGCAAATGATTTAAATAGATGTTTCTCAAAAACAGAAATATAACTAAACTATTTGAGAACAAATACTCAGCATGATTAGCCCTCAGGGAAATTCAAAGTAAAGTCACGATACCAATTAAAATGGCTACTTTTAAAAAACAAAACACAAAAAATAAACAAATGTTGACCCAGAGATGAGCAGGAATTATTACACATGATGTATGGAAATACAAACTAAAAATAGAATCACTACTATAAATAACAGCATGAAGGTCCCTCAAAAAATGCAAATGTACCAAACGATCTAACTCATTTTCTCCTTGGTATCTCTCCAAAGAAATGAAACCAGCACACCCACAATGTAGCTGCATATATATGAACTATTCACAACAACTAAGACATGGACTTAGTCTGCATGCCCATCAACAGATAAATAGTCTAAAATTACAGGATATGTTCATATAATAGTATTATAAAAAGAATGACTAAAACTAGAGAGCATTATGTTACATGGCAAACTCAGAAGGACAAGGACAAATACACTTTCTCACATGCAGATAAAGATGCAAAGATGTGGACTGCAATGAGTAAGAGCTGACAGGCTGAACTTGATATGTCCACACAGTACTCACACATAGAACTAGCCCCCTGAAACTGCTAGTATGCATGGTATGTTAGTATTTAAAAGGACAAAGTTAAACTAACTAAAGGATGTGTTTCACTATAATGCCTTTTTTCTAGAATATTGCTTACATCTTCAACTAAAAATATTTCTGTCCTTTTAAGATCCAAGTAGCAGTTTAGAGTTCAGCGCTCTCTATCATCTTTCCTTCCGCACCCCACTCACCTGTTCATTCTCTCATATGAGGCTCCAAACTCTGCTGCTTTTTGAGATGAACTGAAAATATCTTGATGTTTATTTAATTTGGAAAATAAGGAATCAGAAAATGTTCCATTACTGAACTGAAAAAAGGAAGAAAATGACAAAACAATATGTACATATTTACACTTTTAATTGTATTTACCTATCTACACATAATTACTAACTAATGTATGGCTATTACATATGTGTATATATATATGAAGATAAATATTTAGGTAAATATTCTATAATGTTTTATTTTCTACTTTACAAAGTAATTCATAGAATATGGGGTTTAAGCTGTATCAACAAGGTTTTGTCTCTAAGTTATAAACTATAGATTCTCTCAGCCCTCCTTCTCGTTCCTCTGTCAGTTGACAACACCAAGAAACACTCTCTACCTGGGACCTCTGGTGGCCAGCCTGGCTGGGACTCAGGTAGGGGATTTGGACTCTCTGTCTGGTCTCGCATTACAATCTCTCCAGTCTCATTCCCAGCCTTGTAGCAGCTGCTTTCAGGTGCCTCTCCTCCCACTCTACCTCCATTTCCTAGGGTTTCTGGCAAACCTTGTGAGGACCCAGCTTTCACCAACTTGAGGACCCTCTCAGAGCCCTCTGCTAGCCCATCCCCATTCCTTTGTGTCTGCGTCCAATACCAAAGAACACTTTCTACCTGTGACCTCAGTGGCCACACTTGGCAGTGACTCAGAGAGGCAATTCATACCGTCTCTCCTGCCCTCCTATATGACCTTTCCACTCCCCTCAGCCCTGTAACTAAGCACTTACAGGTACCCCTCCTCCCTCCTCAGCTTCATTCACTGGAGACTGCAACTCCTGGTTCAGACCCAGAGTCACCCTAGCTCCTTCACCTCTGTCTCTCTACATTTCTTCACCACAACCTGCTCTCCAGATCCCCTTTCACCACCACACCTTCAACTGTCTGGAGACACCATCTTGGACAGGGTCCCCTCACTTCTTCCCAAATTCCCACTCAGGCTTTTCTCCTAACCCATCTCTATTCCTCTCGGCAGAAGCACTCTCCTAAGATCAAGAGAGGGCAACAGAAATCACAGAACAAAACAGTCATACATCCCTCTAAAACACAACTGTGTAACAATACCTTGGATAACCGCAGTTGTCCTTACTCTATCTTCCCGACACCAGTACAAAAAACAAACAAACAAACAAAAAAAAAACATTAACAGCCAAGATGAGATTCTAAAGCCAGAAGAACCTGGCTGTTCTACAAACACTAAGGACCAGAGAGATCAGCCCAGTGCAGCATTCTAGGTAAAACTTCCAATCACAATAGATGAAGAAAGAAAACCATTCTTAAATATTTTATTCCAAAATAAAAATGCAATAAAAACAATGTTAAGTAGTATCTACTATCTACAAATCCATCTGTACAAAAGGCACTAGAAAAACAGAAGTATGCAAATTCATGGAAATTGAGACACTTATTACTGAATGAAAAATGGGTCAAGATAAAAATTAAGAAATAAATAAAAAACTTTTTAGAATTAAATGAAAATGAAAACACAACATCCCCAAGCTTATAGGACACACATTGAAAGCAGTTCTAATAGCACTAAGTGCCTAAGTTTAAAAAAATGGAGAGATACCATGTTAGCAACTTAACAGCACACCTGAGCTTTAGACTATACAGAAGAAATAGCACTAAAAAGGAGTAGATGTCAAGAAATAATCAAACTCAAGGCTGAAATCAATAAGAGAAACAGAACAAACAATACCAAGAGTCAATGAAATGGTAAGTTGTTTCATTGAGAAAAATCAGTAAAATTGGTAAACCCCTAAGCACATTAAAAAATGGAGAGAAAAGATTAAATTAATAAAAATAGAGATAAAGGAAAAACACCAAGGAAATCCAGAGAATCATAAGGACATACTTTAAAAGTCTGTATTCCATCAAATTGAAAAAGCTAAAAGTAAGTAAATTGATAAATCCCTTGATATATTTAATACAAAAAAGTTAAGTCAAGATCAGATCATCATTTTATATAGACATATAAGCCCCAGTGTAAAAGAAACAGTAATTGAAAATCTTTCAACCAAAAACTACCCAGGGCCAGATGGATTCATTCAGTGCGAAATTATGACAGACTTTCATAGAAGAATTAATGCCAATACTCCTCAAATTATTACACAAGATATATACTTAAGGATCAGTTCCTAATGCTTTTTGCAAGGCAACTATTATACTGACACCAAAACCACAAAAAGACCTAGCAAAAATTGAAAATTATAGACCCAAATATCTTATGAGCATAGATGTGAAGATTCTCAATGAAACGCTTGCAATGGAATTTATGGACACGTCAACGAGATTGTCTACTGTGATCACTTTGGCTTCATCCCAGAAATTCAGGGATGGTTTGACAAATGCACATGGATAAAAGCAATCTACCACATAAACAGACTGACAGACAAAAACCACACAAAACATCTCATTAGATGCATAAAAGGCTGTTGACAAAATCAAAAACCCTTTCATGATAAAAGTCTATTGCGTGGGAAGAGTACACAAAACAAAAGTCCTTGAGAGACTAGGAATACAAAGACATACCTCAACAAAATAAAGGCAATTTACAGCAAGCCCACAACTATTATCAACCTAAACAGAGAGAAACTCAAAGCATTTCCACTAAAATCAGGAACAAAACAAGGATCTCCACTCTCCCCACACCTATTCAATATAATACTTGAAGTCTTAGTTAGTGCAATAAGACAACTATTGGAGATCAAGTGGATACAAATAAGAAGATATCTAAGAATCTTTAATTGCAGAGAAAGACATGATTTCATACATGAAAGCCCTTAAGACTCCAACAGAGAATTCCTACAGCTGATAAACACTTTCAGTAAAGTAGCAAGATACAAAATTAACTCACAATGATCAGTAGTCTTCCTACATACAAATGACAGAGAAAGAAATGAGGGAAAAACTACCTTTTACAATATCCTCAAAAAAAAAAAAACATGTTTTGGGATAACTCTAACCAAGCCAGTGAAAGGCTAGTATAATAAAAACATCAAGACATTGAAGAAAGAAATTAAAGACAATCAAAAGAGGAATAGATCTCCCATGCTCATTAATAAGTAGGATAATATAGTGAAAATGGCCATCCTATCAAAAGTAACCAACACAATTCTTCCCAGAACTTGAAAGGACAATTTTCAGTTTCATTTGAAAACATTCACAGACACAGAGTCACACACACATACACACACACAAGCACACACACACAAGCACACACACACAAGTACATACACACACACACACACACACACACACACAATTAATAAAAGAACTGCTGGAAGTATCACCATCCCTCATTTCAGCTGTACAACAGCATGGTATTGGCATAAAAATACACATGTTGATCAATGAAATCGAGTTCAAGACTCAAACAGACTCCCCACACCTATAGGTACCTGTGTTTGGTTTCCTTTTGTTTTGCTTTACAAAAAAATTTTTAAAAAACATGGTGGAGAAAAGACAGCATCTTCAACAAATTGTGCTGGTCAATCTGGATGGCTGCATTTAGAAGAATGGAAATAGATCCATATTTATCACCCTTCACAAAACCAGCTCTAAATGGATCAAGGTCCTCAACATAAGGACAGATAACAATGGATCTGATAGAAGAGAAAGTGGGGAATAGTCTTGAACTCGTTGACACAGGAAAGCAATTTCTGAAGAGGACACTGAAAGCACAGGCACTAAGAACGATTAATAAATGGGACCTGAAGAATTTGAGAAGCTTCTGTGTGACAAAGGACACCATTTCCTGGGGGGAAATGGCAGGCTACAGAATAGGGAAGGAGCTTTACTAATTACTCATCTGATAGTTAATATCTAAAATGAATGAAGAATTAAAAAAACTGAACATCAAGAAAAACTATATCCCAATTAAAAAGGGGAGTTTGCAAAAGATGAGAAACACTTAAAGAAATGTTCAACATCTTTAGTTGTCAAGGAAATGAAAGTTAAAACAACCTATACTAGTAAGAATGGCCAGATTAATAATACAAATTAACGATTCATACTGGTAAGGGTGTCAGGGAAATGGAATATTTATCTGCTGCTGGTGGAAAATGCAAACTTGTGCAGACAGTGTGGTGGTTCCTCAGAAAGTTGGGAATAGATCTACCACAAGACCCAGCTATACCACTCTTGGGCACATACACAAAGGGCTCTATGTCCTACCACATGGATACTTGCTCATCCATGTTCATTGCTGTGCTACTGATAATAGTTATCAACAGCCTAGATATCTATCAGCTGATGAATGGATAAAGAAAATGTGGTACATTTACACAATGGAACACTATTCATCTACCTAAAACATGAAATCATAAATCACAGGTTAATGAATAGAGGTAGAAAAACTCAAACACAAAAAGAAAATTTTGTATGCCTTCATTTATTATGTGGATGTCAGCTTTTAAGACTTTGATAGGCATGCTATAATCCATATAACCACAGAGGTTAGGTGTAAAGTAAGAGACCACAGGGAGAGGAGGATCACCCAAGGAAAGGAAAGCAGAATGCATAGTTAAAGAGAGACAGGGAGAGACCTGAATGGGAGGTTACAATGGGGAATAAAAATGAGGCATAGGATGAAATACTATCCATTCATCACCATATTTAGCAATTTGAAACCCATGTTTGTCAAATTTATGAAAGGAAAATCTTTTATGAAGATAAGACATCAAAGAAGCAATAATCCCAATGTACCTGATCATTTTGGTTTTTTTCAGATGTAAATTTCTGAGGATTTAGTGCTATCCTTGGGGTGGAGTTTTGGTTTGGAATATGTCTGTTAGAAGGTAATTCTGCTGGAAAAGATGGCAGAATATAACTGCAGTTTTCTGTTTTGTTGAACATTCTGTATGAGCTCATGTCTTGTGATGACTATAGGGGAAAAAAGGTAAGATCACTAAAGGTACAGAAACTAGAAGTCAAAATAACACAATAAAAATTAGCAGAAAAGGGGTGTGACTACAAATGATGAAGTCCTAAGGAAAGGCACACTTGCTGTTGGTAATTCATAGGCATCATGGAGGTCTATGAGCTCTTCCCCTCTGCGTTCCCTTTGGACCTTCCTCTCTCCTTTTCTGAATGTCACCTTCTTTTTTCTTTTTTTGAGTCTCATTTTTCTAGTTTATTAGCTGTTTTGAAGCTAAGATTATAATGACTTAGAGATATTCTCTGCCTAAATGAGAAATGAACCTCTCTCAAAGATCATGTCAATTACTTTCAAGGAATCTAGAACAGGGACTTATCAGCTGATGTCATTCTGGCTTTCGCACACTGTCATGCTGGCCTGTGCCCGCTGGGACAGGGAGCCCCAGTCTGGCTTTCTACAGAAGAAGGTGACTGTGAAAAGGTTTTGTTCAGGAATGTCTGTGAAGCTGCCACCAGGAGTTGGAGCAAAGCTGGCTCAGTACTGAGACAGGGCAAGTGCCCTTCCCAGGGCTGGATTGGACCAGCAGGGCCACCCGACCTACAGCAGGAGCGCTTCATGGGAAGCCAGGCTCTGCAGTCCCCTGAAAGGACACTTTGGATCTTCATTCCCTTTTCACAGGGATCAACCCAGTTCAACGAGCTTATAGATAGGGGGTGCACTGTTATCCCTTCCAGCTATTTGTCATCATCTCCCATCCTGTGTGTCAAACAACATGTCTGAAGGGTTTTTCGTTTCCAGACACTGCAGAGAGCAAAGGCATGCCTGAAACAGACCCTGCTGAGGACTGCCAAGTGGGTGGGAACAGCTCCTAGGGCCCTGAATGTCACTTTCTAAGACATAAAATCTAGTTTCTTTAACCCATGGATCAGATGACAGGATGCCCAAGGTGTTTTATTACCCACATCAGTTTCCTCTGCCTTTCTGATCTAATTTAAACCTGACAATTCAAAGTAAAAAAGAGTAATTAATATGGCATTGAACAGTAAATAGAATTTCAAACTTTAATCAACCTGTGCATTTTCTAATTCATTATGATTTTGTTTGCAAAAAAAATTACACTTGGCTGGTGAGATGGTTCAGAGATTAAGAGCCCTGACTGCTCTTCCAGAGGTCCTGAGTCAATTCCCAGCAACCATGCCTTGCTTGGCTCACAACCATCTGTAATGAGTGAGATCTGGTGCCCTCTTCTGACCTGCAAGTATACATGCAGACAGATCACTGTATACATAGTAAATAAATAAATTTTCTAAAAGAGAAAACAAATCGTTATACTTTGAAATATCACTTTGTGGTAAATATGAGTTCTTAACATCAGAATTTGCTATAAATAATGTTCTCATTGCATTTGAAAAGATGAACTGGTCAGTGAATGTGTGAACCTCATAAAAGATTACCTGAATGGAACGTGTGGAGATGGTTCATCAGTGAACCGCTTGCTATGCAAGCATAAGGATCAAGTTTGACTCCCCCACACCTACAGGAAAAAGCCAGGTGTGTCAGTGCACACTTGCAATCCCAGTGATGCAGAGGGAAGAAACAGGCCAACTCCTGGGTCACTAGTCAGACTTGCTGGCCAGTCGGTATGCCTGAATCAACCAGCTCTTGTGGCAGAGAGACCTTGTCTCAAAAAAGAACATTGGAGAGTACGTGACCTCTGGCCTCCTTGTACACACACACATATTTCTACCTACCACCAATGAGCACATGCTCACACAAATAAACAGACACTAAAAAACAATGTCTCTGTAAATTGTGCTTTGTAACTCTGATTACAAGAATAATCAAGCATTAAGCACACGGGGCTGGCCACATTACTGTCACTCCAAGGAAACTTCATAATCAGAGTATTCCTTAGGAGTAAGTTTCCTACATTTGAAAACTGCAAAAACAATCATTCAGAAACTGTAAAAACTTAAAGGATAACTAATTTTACCTACTATTTTAAAAGTGAGAGTGTCTTTGGGAATAAAGCAATTGCTAAAGTAACATAATTTCCTTTAAAACTCACCTGAACTGGACCAGTTTCTTCCTTGCTACATAGTCTTTGATAGGGTACACTAAAGAAAACAAAAATTTAAAGTTAAAAGTTCAAGCAGCCATAAAATTTATCTTACGGATATTTAAATTTCACAGCATCTACACAAGCACCCAACATAGAAAATTCTGGTAAATCACTACAGGCTCATAATACAATGAAGTTTTAGGGGAAAACATTATATTAAACTCAGATAGGCATTTTCTAATATGGGAAGTCAAAGCAGGTACACAAACTCTAACACCACTGGCATATGTCCTAATGGTTTTATAGTATCATTAGACAAACAAAAATGGGAGCTGGAAGGTAAGGTCCTTCTCAGGTTCCCAGCAAATCAGCAAGCTGACAGTGCTAACTTCTGTCAGTTAGTCACTGTCTTAGCTAACACTTACTTCTTTTCCATGTCATCAATGCACAGTTTAGAAGGTACACAGTGAGGTGACATTGGAAGTTCTAAATCATGCTTTCTTAGTGGAATTTTCAAATCTCTATTCATATCCACATGAGTTGGTCTTTTCGTGGTTTCTATAATAAAAAATGTTAAATAATAACTTTAAAATAGTTGAAAATCATTTTTGCTGTATCATTATTCAATTGATTGTACATATGAAAATGTTCTTCTAAAACATGTTCTTTACATGTTATTACAGAAACTGACTGCTAATGACTACTAATGGAATTTAATTTTTTTCTCCTGCTTCTACGTAATTAACAAAGAGACTCTGCTAGTTCAACATAATTTCTTCTTTCTCAGTTACTAGACCTTATCACATACTGTGTTATATATTCTCATAGTACTGTGTGTTTTCTCTATTTTAGCACTTTTCACATTTTATTACACTTGATTAACTCTATCTCCTGCAATAGACTTTAAACTTTCTTAACCTGTGAGTCATGACCCCTTTGGGTATCAAACAGCTCTTTCACAGTTGTCTAAGACATTTGGAAACACAGATATTTACATTACAGTTCATAAAAGCAGAAAAATTACGGTTACAATGTAGCAATGAAATAATTTAATGATTGGAGTCTCAACATGAGGAACTGTATTAAATCGCAGCATTAGGGGCTGCAGCTCTAGGAAGGTTGAGAATCACAGCTTTAGATGAAGGAGCCTTGTATCTTTTTATGCAATTGAGGTCAAGTTTTATTTGCTCAATACTCAGCCCACCTACAAAGTTCTAGTGGGAATCTTCCCACTTTCTGTTCAACCACCTCCCTTTGGACAGAACCCCTGGTTCAGAGGTAGACATTTGGGCAAAGATAAATGAATCAGACTTTTTTCTGTTTCTCTGACTCAGTGCAACTGTCCAATTGCTGGAGTCTGGCAGTACCAGAAGGCGACTTCTAGGGGAACACAAAATTTTGGAATAAAAGAACCCATAGCCTTTCTGGGCATTAGAAATAGTGGTTTCTTAAGACCAGCTCTGAAATGTTCATAATGAAGACAATCTGAGAGAACAAGGTCTGCCATTTAACAGAGAAAGAATCCTAGTGGAACTTAAGTCCCCGATCGAGGTATACCTGAGACATGGTGCAGTACTGTCCCATCTTTGGAACTTCTGCCTTTAGCTACCACAAAGTCATGACTAATGAAATCCTGCTTCTATTTCCCATGTGCAATAATTGTACTCAATAAACACACATTGAATGAATGACACAGAAAGAAAGTGATGCGATTCATGATACATTCCAGATGTGGTACACTGGTATTTTAAAAAACTGAAGACATAGGAAGGGCACTCTCAGCTTTTCTCCTTCTCAAAGTAGGTCACAGAACTCAGAAGCATTTCCTTAAAGCAGGCAATAGACGCTTTCTGTGAGAGATGCCCTTCTTAGATCTGAAGGGCAGATCTAAGGTCTTGTCCCCACTGCAGCATGGGGATTAAACCCAGGACTCTGCCTGTGCAGTCTCTCTCCCTGATCAGCATCACTCTTGACATACAGGATCCCAGAGAAGAGCCTGGACAGATCCGGATGAATTCTCACCTGAGTCCCACCTCCAAGTCCCACTCTTTAATTTTGTCATGCATCTCTACAGCTGTTCATGGCTTCTTGACACAGCACTAAAAATGCATAGGATTAACCATTTCTTTAGATGCTTATTTCCTGATGAAGGCCCTCATATTACACAAATTGTCAAATATTGCTAATCTTTATTATTTGGGTCTCAACCATGCTTGTAGTGAGAGATGAAGAAAACTCCATTTTCCACAAAAGAACATATAAATATGTGTGTGTGTATGTGTATGTATATATGCATAAATATATCAGTAAAGAAAGATGTTTTATTCTAAAAATTCATGGTTAATATATTTACTCCTTCTAAAACATAAATGTCTACTTACTCATAGAGAGAAAAATGCTAAGCAAATGGGTAGGTACTAATATACTTACCAACTTTTACCTCTCCCAGACAAACTATCTTTTTTAAAGGTTTATTTTCACTTTGTGTATAGTTTATTTGCACACATGCATGTGTACCTGTGCATGATTGGAGACTGCAGAGCCCAGAGGAGGACGTAGGATGCCCTGGAACTAGATTTGCACAGTTGTGATCTGTCATGTATGTGCTGGGAACCGGGGCGATTCTGCTGGCTTTGCTTCTGCGCCAACTCTGGCCCCAAACTGTAGTAAGTTTTTTTTTTCTCTTTTGAGGAGCCCACCACCCAGCTCCCAGATAAATCACACATGGAGGCTTATTCTTAGTTATGAATGTCTGGCCTTATCTTGGCTTGTTTCTAGCCAGCTTTTCTTAACATCTGTTATCCCACCTACCTTTTGCCTCTGGGCTTTCCTGTTCTATTACTTCTGTAAATCTTACTCTTACTTCATGGATTGCTGTGTAGCTGGATGGCTGGGTGACTGACCGCTGACATTCTCCTCCCTCTTCTCTTCCTCCTCTCCTTTTCCTTATTTCTCCTATTTCTCCTGTCTGCCAGCCCTGCCTATCCTTGCTCCTGCCTTGCTATTGACCATTCAGCTCTTTATTAGACCATCAGGTGTTTTAGACAGGCAAAGAACCACAGCTTCACAGAGTTAAACAAATGCAGCGTAAACAAAAGTCACACGCCTTAAAACAATCTTTTGTCACACCAAGCTATCTTGTTTTTTTAATTCTTAATTTTATGCTTGTTTTTAAATGTAAATAATAGGCCCAAGATTCTTGAAGAGAGAGAAAGCATTTTTTTGATTGAAAAGCCAAACTGTGAGACAAAATAAACTTCTTTTGGAAGTATAAGACTCTTAAAGTTACCATCCCAGAAGTGCATAAGAAATTCTACTTACAAGACAGAAATGATGTCACTAAGAAAAAAAAATCTCTCAATTATTCCTTCTGTACTAATTTCTTATATGATATAGTAACATTCATTATTTTCTTCTCTCAAGGTAAACTTGTGACTATTTGCCTAGAAGTAATAATTCCATAATTATAATAACTCCATGACCAATTAATGATATCAAGCAAGTTGATCTTATACAACACACACACCACTGAAAAGTAAATAGATAAAATAACAAAAGATCTTAATTCAAATATTGATTAAACTTATAATTTAAAAAGGCAACCAAAGTTTTAAAATAAGTTTTCCATATGCTTTGAGTTCTGGAATTTCTAAGCAATTAGACAGCTAGACATTATTATGAATTACCACATCAAGGTAAAAAACAAATGCCTTAGAAAGACTTACCAGGTGTTTTCTTCTTAGAAGATATCTGATTTACCATATACAGATTAAGAAGGTCTAAACTGACAGTAGGGTTCTTGACAGGTGAAAAAACTCCTAGCAACTCCTTTTTTGATTTTAACTTGTTCTTTTCAAAGTATTCCTGAAATGGTTAAGAATTAAAATATTAATTTCCCGAGCTGGGCATTGGTGGCGCACGCCTTTAATCCCAGCACTCAGGAGGCAGAGGCAGGCGGATTTCTGTGAGTTCAAGACCAGCCTGGTCTACAGAGCGAGTTCCAGGACAGCATCTAAAACAATACACAGAAACCCTGTCTTGAAAAACCAAAAAAAAAATATTAATTTCCCAACCTAATAGTTCAAGGTGGAATCATAAGCAATAAATGTGATGAAGTCACTATGCCACTGACTTCATGTTTTTACACATGACACAACATTTACATGGAAACTGAAATCCATGTGATAACTTGCAGTTTGCCTGAAGACTTTAAACTGACAGGTGAAAAAACTTTTCCTATAATATTTTTAAAGCTTCTAAAAACACAGCAAAGTGCCCATTGAAAAATCAAGAGCAGGACTGTGAAACAGCACAGAGATAAAAGCCTGCTGACCTGAGTTCAATGCCCTGACCTTTAATAGAAGATAACCAAGTCTTCTTTTGAAGACCTCCACAGGCATGCTGTGATACATGAGTATCCCCATTCACATATGTATGTGCGTGCACACACGATGCAAATATACATACATCAATAATAATAATAAAATTATACAACCAACTAGGAGGAAAACAAAAGCTATGTGAGAACAAATCTGCAACCAATGCCAATTTAACTTACTGTACCACAACTGCTTAATGTTGTCTATAAAAAAGACTTACACATACATATATCCAGCTCATATTTCCCTCCTGGATTTCTGAACTATGATTATTCTTCATGTTTTAGTTACATCATTAACTTACTAAATTCAAAGACATTTTAATTTTTAAAATATTTATTTTAGTTTTAATTGTGTGGGAGTGTGTATGTGAGTGTATCTGTGGAGTCCATAAGGTTGTTGTTGGAGCTACTGGAGCTGGAGTTACAAGCAGGCTGTTGTGAGTCATCTGATATGGGTTCCCAGACCAAACTCAGGTCCTCGACATGGGAAGTGCATGCTCTGAAACACTGAACCATATCTCCAGCCGTCTTTATCAAAGTAATGCATTTTCATGTATATATGTCATTTTAACTTCCTCAGTTGTTCCCTTCACGCCTTCTTCTCCATGTCCCACTTCCCATGCCACTCCTCACTCTTACAGGTTCAGTACATGAAAGAAACATGCAGTATTGTCTTTCCTAGTCTGGCATATTTCACCCAATTTTCTAGTTCCACCCACTTCCCTGTAAATGCCATGATTTCATTTTTCTTTATAGCTGAATAAAATCCCATGTGTGTATGTTCTTTATCCATATTTCTGAGGACTGTGTATGCAGGCTGGTCCCATTTTGAGCTATCATAAATAGTGAGCATATCTATAAACATGGCAGTGCAAGTGTCTTTATGATACATTAACTCAGTGGTTCTCAACATGTGGGTTGTAACCCCTTTAGGCATACAGGGGTCATCTAAGACCATTGGAAAACAGATATTTACATTATGACTCCTAACAGTAGCAAAACTGCAGCTATGAAGTAGCAACAAAATTAATTTTAAAGTTGGGGGTCACCACAACATGAGGGACTGTATTAAAGGGTCACACCATTAGAAAGATTGAGAAGCCCTGCATTAACTTGAGTCATTTCAATAAATACCCAAAAATGATACTGTTGGGCTTGTGATAGTTCTAGTTTTAGTGTTTTGAGTAGTCTTCCCACTGAGTTCCATAGTGACTGAACTCCCATTGACTAACTGAGGGATATTTTTCCCTGTATCCTGGCAAGCCCTATATCCTGTGAGTCCTTCTCACTGGGATGAGATAAATGGATTTTTGTTGGTTTTGAGACAGGGTCTCACTCTGTATCTTAGACTAGCCTAGAACTCATTATTCATCCCAGCCCAGGCTTAGAATTCATGGCAATCCTGAGCAAACCTTCTGAGTAAACCAGCTGGTATTACAGATATCTGTCTTGTGACCCAGCTGAAATGGAATCCAAAGTGCTTTTGATTTACATTTTCCTGATTGTTAAAAATGCTGAGCATTTTTTCAAGAGTCTATTGACGATATATTTCTATTGAAAACTATTTATCCAGTTCATTATTGCATTTATTGATTGTGTGACTTGTTGTCTGGTGTTTATTCCTTGCAGGTCTTTACATGCACAGATATTTATCTTGCACTAGATATACAGTGGACAAGGTTTTCTCCCACTCTGCAGGCTCTCTCTTCACTTGGATGTCGCTTCCCATTCTATGCAGAAGGCATTTACTTCATGACATGGAGTCCTTGTCAAAATGTCCTCGCCTATACCTCTATCTTGAAGTGTTTTAACTATGTTTTAAGACATTCATTGGTTTTGTTTTTTATCTGCTATTATGCCCCTGACACTGTAACAGATTATCTTCAAAACATCTTCTGTTAAGTATTTTATAACACAGTGGCATAAGATTATGTACAAATGAGTTGTTCAAACAGAAAAAGGTCAAAATGACAAGAAAATGCAAGAAGTCACATATTCAAGTAGTTACTTAGGTTTTCAGGATATTAAGGCAATACATCTCAGAATATTGTCAATTACAAACAAATTTAATATTAGATAAAGGCCCTTCATCAAAAAATATCTCCTTGTAACAGACAGAAACCATTACAATCAGTCACAGTCAAAATGCAGAAAACAAGTACCCATGTGGAGTCCAGCCTCAACTGATACATCTGCAACAAAATTCCTACATCTAACTCCTAGAGATCATAGCAGAAGGGGAGACAGAAAGCTTAAGAGCCAGAGGAGAGCGGGAAGTCTGCTTTGAGACTGTGTCTCTTAGGGCTTCCTACGGTGGTCTGGATGACCTGGAATCTACTATGTTGCCCTGGCCGGACTTGAACATACAGCAATATTCCTATTCTTAACTACTATTAGAGGAGTGGGCCACTATGCCTGGCCAAGAGGAGAGCTAATTAATGATAAGGTGAGATTCAGGAGTTTAATGCTATATTTGCTGTTATAGGGCTAGAATCACTCAAATGACAACATCCTTACCTTCTGTTTTCTTCTTTCCTGCTTTATCAGAACCCTGGTCCTAAAGCAATAAACAGAAAAAAAACATATAATTATTAAAGAAATAGACCATTTCTAATATGATCACAATTTCTGTTAAAAATCTAGAACTAAAATCTCAAATTTACCTATCATCTTATTTTCTGAAAATATAAAAATGTTTTTAAAGCATATATAGTAATATTTCACATAAATTTCTTAGGAAGTCCAAAATTCAATAAAAACTATTACAGTAATTAATAACTTAGACAAAATAAATCTGAGATAAGCAAAAAGAAATGAATACATTAGAAATACCATATTACTAAACCATTCTCATCTGATCACAGCAGTCTTGGTCAACAACTCCATTTCCTTTGCTTTTCTTTACATTTCAACATTCTGGTGATATTACTCCAGAACAGACAGAAGACATAAATTTCTTCAGGTTCTAAGGAACTGCTAGAGCAACTCCAATTGCATTAATATGCCAATTATCTCAGCACTGGGCATCATGGCACACACCCGAAACTTCCAGTTGCTGGGATACTGAGGCAGGAAGCCCAGGAGTTTGAGGTCACTTATCCTACAGAGATGTTACTATGAGCAAAATGGCAGGAGTGTGACTCTTAAAACATCAGGTCTGAAACTTTAGCTCACTGGTAGAACACCTACCCAGCACCCACACAGCCCTGACTTTGATCCTTGGCATTGCAGAGGGCAGAAGAAGGAAATACTCCCTATTCAATGTCAGTTTAAGTTGCTGTAATAAAATACCACAGCTGGATAGTAGAGATTGGTGCACAAAATACTATACCCCTTGGAATGAAAAGTACTGTGAGGAGAGTGATCCTCAGAAGCAAAGTCTTTCTCTGACCTTCTCCTGATTACCTTCCTACTACTGCATCTCTTCCACACAGTAGATCATAGAAAGTAGAGCCTACTTCTGCACCACCAGTCACAAAGTCTAGAAATAAAGTTTTATCTAAGAGCTGGATATCAAAGAAATTTTCTGATCTCTCTTGTTTGATATAGACTGTGGAATTCACAGTAAATTTAGAAGGGGGTCTTGCCTCATACCTGACAGGAAAAGATGCTACATAGAGAGTCTAAGAAGAATCTCAAGTAATAGGCCTCATGGGTTTCTACTCTCTGTTATTAAGTAGTATTTTTTGTGTCCACTTATCTTCATGGGTGTCAATTCTTTATCAAACCTGGATAGGAATAAATGCTGTTCCCTTGGATTTTGGTCTTAATTTCTAAGCTTCCTGAGTCATATGAAACTGAGTAAAATAAATATGTTACACTTCTCCCCTCACAATCTGCTTATAGGTACAGGTCTGTGTTGGCTGTGATGATCAGGAAAAAGAATATACTTTTCTGCCTAAACTCTAACAACAGAATTTCTCTCCGTTCTGGCAGCTGTTCAGATTATAGTCAAAGTGGCCATCTTCTGGTTCACAGATGAAGACTTTCCATATCTGTTCACATAGTGAAGGGATGGGCTAGTTCTCTGGAACATCTTTTGTAAGAGCAGTAATCATAATTAAGGTTCTGCTCTTACAATTTAATCACATCCAACAGATCCCACGCCTTTTCATACCATCACCTAGGGGATTAGAAAATTCAAGTCCCAGCCTCAGATGGTGTCAGAAATAGTAAGGACATTAAGGTATGTCAGAAGATCCTATTGAAGCTGAGAGAAACCACAGATTCTCAAGAGTTTTGGATGAAGTCCAACTTACAGTGGGTCCAGGGGTCCTCAAATTCATCCTATAGCTTTTTCCCCAGTTCCAGAATGCATAACTGGGATAGACATACTTAGAAGTTGGCAGAATTCTCACATTGGTTCCCTGACTTTATGGGGTGAAAGTTATAGTTGAAAATGGCAAATGGAAGCCATTGGACTTTCTTCTATCAAGGAAAATAGTGAATAAAAGATGATATCACATCCCAGGAGGAACTGCAGAAATTAATACCACCAACAAGGACTTGAAAAATGCAGTCATGGGTTCCACTACACTTCCTCTTAACTCTTCTATCTGGCCAGTACAGAAGAAGGATGAATAATAGAGAATGACAGTTTATCATCAAAAATTTAATCAAGTAGTGACTCTACTTGCAGCTGCTATACCAAGTGTGGTGTTCTTACTTGAGCTGGCTACCACATTTCCTGTATGTGGAATGTAGCTATTGATCTATCAAATGTCTTTTTCTCAGTACCTGTCTATAAGAAGCAATTTTTAAGTACTGCCAGAAGCAATTTTTCAGTTGGCCAGGCCAGCAGTATACCTTTACAATTTATGTTGAGGATATATTAACTCTCCAGCCCTGTGCCATAACTTAGTTAGAAAGGATCTTGATCATCTGTCTCTTCCACAAAATTTTACTTTGATCCACTCTATTGATAACATCATGTTGATTAGACCAAATGAACCGGAGGCAACAACCACTCTGAACTCAATGGTAATACATATGCACATCAGAGGGTGGGAAATAAATCCAACCAAAATTCAAGGGCCTTCTACCTTAGGAGTCCAGTGGTGAGGAACATGCAGAGATATTCCTTCTAAAGTAAAGGATAAGTTATTGTACCTGGCCCCTCCCACCACCAAGAAAGAAGAACAACTGTTAGTGGACCTGTTTGCATTCTGAAGACAGCACATACCTGACTTGGGTGTGTTACTCTAATCCATATACCAAATGTCTCAGAAAGCTGCTAGCTTTGAGTGGGGCCTGGAACAGGAGAAGGCTCTTTAACAGATCCAGGCTGCTCTGTGGGCTGCTCTACCCCCTGGACCATATGATCCAGCAAACCTAATGGCACTTGAGATATCAGCAGAAGATAGGAATGCTGTCTGGAGCTGTTGGCAGGCCCCTATAGGTAAATCATGGAACTTTGAGATTCTGGAGCAAGACTCTACCATCATCTACAGACAGCTAGTCTCCCTTTGAAAGACAGCTCTTGGCCTGCTTTTGGGCCTTAGTGGAAACTGAACATTTGACAATGGGTTACCAAGTTACCATGCAACCTGAGATGCCTGTTATAAGCTAGGTATTATCTGACCCACCAAGCCACATAATTGGATGTGCACAGTAACAATCCATTATTAAATGGAAGTGGTATATACATCATTGGGCCTGAGCAGGTCCTGAAGGCACAAGCAAGTTATATGAAGAAGTTGTCCAAATGCCTGTGGTTTCTACTCCTGTTACAATGTACATAGGTACACCCTATGATCAGCTGCAAGGGAAGAGAAGAGCAGGGCCTGGTTTACTGATGGTTCTACATATTATATAGGAAAAACATAGAAATTGACAGCTACAGCACTGAAGTCTGTCCTGGGACAACTTTGAAAAATACCATGAAGGAAGATCTTCACAGTAGGCAGACCTTTGGGAAGAACACATGGTTTTACATCTGTCTCAAAGTGTTCAACTGTTCATGTTTCATTACCTGTAGCCAATGGATTAGCTAGATGGTTAGGACTTGGAAAAACTATGTTTGAAAAATTGGTGAAAAAGCCATCTGGGGAAGAAGTATAGATCTCTACAGATGGGTGAAGAATGTGAAGCTAGCTGTGCCTATGAAAATGCTCATCGAAGGTGACTCCAGCAGAAGAGGAGTTCAGTAATCAAGTAGATAGGATGACATGTTCTATGGACAGTCAGCTTTTGTCCCCAGCCATCCCTGTCATTGCCCAATGGACCATTGAACAAAGAAGCCATGGTGGCAAAGATGGAGATTATGCATGAACTTGACAAAATGGACTGTCACTCACCAAGATTGACCTGGCTACAGCTGCTGCTGAATTCCAGATATTCCAACAGCAAAGATCAACCTGGAGCCCCAGATATGGCACCATTCTTCAGGGTGACTAGCCAGCAACCTGGTAGCAGGTTGACTCCATTGAACCACTTCCTCAATGAGAAGAACAATACTTTCTCCTTACGGGAGTAGATACTCATTATTCTGTTCATGGATTTGCCTTTCCTGTATGTAATACTTCTGCCAAAACTAACATCTGGGGACTTACAGAATGCCTTATTCACTGTCATGGTATACTATGCAGTACAGTCTTCTATCCAAAGAACTCATTTCATAGTCAGAGAAAGTGAGACAGTAGCCCTATGATTATAGAATCCACTGATCTTACCATATTCCTCATCATCTTGAAGCAGCTGACCTGATAGAAAGATGGAATGAGCCTGTGAAGATACAGTTACAGTGCCAATTCAGTGGCAACAGGATGGAGAGCTAGGGCAGGGTTCTTTAGAAGATGGTCTATGCTCTAAAACAGTGTCTAATATATGGTACAGTTTCTCCCATAGCCAGGACACACAGGTGCAGGAATCAAGGGATGGAAAAAGGAAATGTTCCACTACCACCCTAGTGACCCACTTGGGAAATCGTGTCCGTCCTTTTCCTGCAACCTTGAGTTCTTCTGGACTAGAAATTTTGGTTCCAGACTGGGGAACGCTCCTACCAAAACACAACAAACCTTCCATTGAACTGTAAGCATAGACTTCCCCCTGGGAACTTTGAGATTCTAAGGTCCTTAAGCAAACAAGAAAGGAGTAACAGTGTTAGGAGGGGTGAATGGTCCCGATTACTATGATAACCAGGGGAAACTGGACTGCTTTTCTACAAGGAAAGTTAGAATGGTTTTGTCTGGAGTGCAGGGGATCCTTCAGAGCAGTGGTTCTCAACCTTCCTAATGCTGTGACCCTTTAACGCAGTAACCCCAGCCATAAAATTATTTCTGTTTCTGTTTCATTACTGTAATTTTGCTACTGTTTCAAATTGTAATGTAAATATTTTTAGAGACAGAGGTTTGCCAAGGGGTTGCAACCCACAGGTTGAGAACCACTGCTCTAGAGAACCCTGACTAACCCATATTTATTCAATTATATTTTTAGAATATTTTATTTCAAAAATGTAGGTAACAGTCCTTGCTGTCAAACATGGTGACCTGAGTTGGATCTGTGGAACTGGTACAGTGAAAGGAGAGAATTAATTCCTGTAAATTGTTCTCTGACCTC